AACTTTCGCCTTTATATTATTAGTAAGGATTAGTAATTAGTAATTAGTATAGTAAACCGGTGTTGGGATCAGAACAAATTTTAGTTACTATATCTTGACTTTACAGACCGTCACTTACTGTTATTATTTTGTTTTCTTTTTTTGTTATGTTTACATTTATTTTAAGTTTCTGTGTAGTTACATTATTATTTTTAAGTTTAAAGATAAAAGGAATAAAGTTGCGAAATAATGGTGCAAAATAAATTAAGGCCACATATTTGTAATGTTTTTTTTTATTAGATCGGACACATTTACACTAAGCAATGCTTGTACTATGGGTACTAGAAAATTGATAAACATACTTAAACATAATTTTCTTTTGTAAATAAATACATATTACACATATATAAACACCCAGACACTGGAAAAACACGATGTTCACCACACAATGTTTTTCCAGTAGTGGGGATCGAACCCACACCCTCTGGCGCAAGAGGCAGTGTCACTACTCCCCACGCCATTCGGGTCGTCAAAAAATGTAAGAAATCATAATCGTATATAAGAAATAAAAAACATCAAAAATACATACCTATATAATAACAAACTTTTACACTGAAAACTGAACAACACAACACTTGCACTGTATTATTAGTTTCATGATATATGATATATATATATATATATAAAGCAATCTGTATCAGTAAACTTATACGAGACGAGCTAATTGCATACGTATCCAGGCAATCGAATGGATTTTCTTAGCACAGAAAACTTACGAGAATGCATAAACGGTCATTAACATAATCGGATACTTTGTTTATTTTACGAAGGACAAAGTTCCTGAATGAGTTTACTAGGCCGACGAACAAGATGTGAACGCATTAAAAAATTATTAATAGAAATAAGTAATGTCTATGGAGACGTGGCGCGGTGCACTTGAAAATATCAATTACGCGCGGTCAGGCTTTGTTTAAAGCACGTAATGTTGCGAAAGTGACGGTTTTGTCACCTTTGTTAATTGTTGACGTGAAATATTTCAGATTACGGTTTTTACGTCATTCCTTCGGTTTTCTTGCTTTGTTTTCTGGACACGCATGTTTTTGTCCGTAGTTTATCCTGTGACTCGCTAATGAGGCTTTAAGCCAAAAACTTTGACATGCTGTACAATCCTAAATTCCGATGATTCATAAAAGAACACTATACGAAACCGGCGTGTAGTTGAAATGTTATTTAAATTCAATTATCTTTATTCAACACGGAAGCATTACACTCACTTATTGATTTTCAAAATAATAATAAATATAAATATTTTAGGACACATTTTTACATAACATTTCACAAACTAAGCAAAGCTTGCACTATGGGTACTAGAGAAGTGTTAAACATACTTTTCTAATGTAAATATACATATAAAAACACCCAGACACTAGAAAAACACCATGTTCACCACACAATATTTTTCCATTCGTGGGGATGTTCGATCCACACCCTCTGGCACAGGTGGCAGGTACACTATATATACATACCAGATGTTCGATCAAAGTAAACACTATACTGTAACTAAGAATAAATTCCATCAGATGGCGATTGTCGCAGGTCAACAGGCAACTTTTTCCAAAAAAATCAAATTTACTTTTTACGATGCGCGGGCACATCGCCATAGACATGATTCAGTTGTTTGCAAAGCGAGCATAACAACCGATAGCAACTTTTAGACATTTACCTATAAAGCCGAGATTTATAAGGTAACAGCCTATATGTATCCCACTTCTGGGCAAAGGTATGTCCAGGGGGCGCTAGGGCATAGTCGCGACCCCACCGCGATACGGACTTATAAAGTTAGAAATTGTTTTTGTTATTTCGAAAATATGCAATCGCCTTCACCGCTGATCGCGTGATGAGACAGCGCTTAGTTAACAATTCCATTATTGCCAGCACCGGGTTTCGAACTCGTGTTGCTGAGTATTAGCTAGTACGGACACTGAGCTATCACGGATCTCGTTTTTATCGGAAAAGTACTATATTTATTCTAGTACGATAATTTCATCACGGTTAATTGAAAATAAAACTCTTTCTTGTTCAAATTGTTTTAATAATAACAAAAATAAATCTTAATGTTTCAGGTAGGATACAATTTTTGGTTTACGTTCAGCCGAAATTCAATGCGTATTTACTGAAATTTTTTTTGTATAATAAATATATAAAAAACTCCATAATATATATTCCGTTTGGCTTCGTATGGCACTAAATGTTCTTATCATATAAATATTATCTTCTATTTTACTCGGACCTATTGGTAATTTTAGGTTATGTCCACATTATATGGTAAATTGAAACGATTTCAACCTTATACGCCTTACTTTAAGGTCGCTTTTGCTAATTACAGTTTATCGTTAACCGACTTATAAATCAATAGCCACCAGCGAGCGGCGTTATTATGCAATCAAAGATTATTCAAGAACGTCGCAGTCACCGTGTCGAATGGGACATTTAGCGGAAAGACCTGCAAATATTGTTACCAGCAGACACTTTGCTTAATGTCTGCGTTGACGCAATGACTGCAACATGAAATGAACGTACAGTTGTAAAATTAAATACGTAGATGTTGTATCTCAAGGGGTGAGCCATCGTTGTGTGTGTGTGTGTGTGTGTGTGTGTGTGTGTGTGTGTGTGTGTGTGTGTGTGTGCGTGTACCGTGTGTGTGTGTGTGTGTGTACCGACACCATAGAGATACAGAGTAAAGAGGGGGAAAGACAAAAAGAAAGTGTGTGCGATCGATTGTGTTGCGTGTAATTAATGTATTGAGTTTCAGTTTAATAATAATATGCTAAAGAAATTCTTATAATTTTTTGTTAGTTGTTGCAGCGTCAAATTTTTATAATTTTCTCTGAATAGGATATGATTTTAAGAAACTAAGTGCAGACGAGACGGGACCTAGTAAAAGAAATTATAAAATCATTAAAGGAAGATATAGGAAGATATATAAGAAGAATATATCTATATTTAAGAAAAGACTAGTCGCTAGCACATCTTCAGCATTTTAATGATAAATTATTTTTTTACCAAAAAATAACTATTTAATTTTCGAAACGTACACACAGATTAATAAAAGAACTTATAATGCAAGTTTTTCAGTAAAAACAAGCTTGCTGACGCTACTTGTAGTGACGCACACAATAGCACGTATGGCCCACCCGCTATTATTAGATAAAACTACTTTACAATATAAAAACAAACCAATCTAAGCCCTATCGCTATTGTATTAAAGTTCACTCGCCGAAGAAATGTTTACACTACTACGTATTACGGGCTGGAGTTAATAATCTTTGCGAAATAACTGTGACACATTTGGTAACAAAGTCACTACTCATTGGAAGCGCTTTTTACACTTTTGGAAGACAAATCGCGGGCCCGTATCGTTAAACTCCTAATGTAAATAAAATAAGTGAAACACTAGACATGTTATTCAACAAATTGAGTAGAAGTTATTCATTACATTGAGGAGAATCTACAAAAATAAAACTGGAATGACTGACATACAGACAAAATATACAAAATCACCAAAAATACGTTCTCTATGCAAACATTTACACGTTTAACATTTATTAATTATCAGTTACATATAACATCAATGAAATATCACTTTTTATTATGATAATATATTCAGCTAAATATAAATTGTCAATAAAATTTTTTTATTGCCTACCAAGGACAATAAGACTATAAATTTCTCACGAAAAAAGTCATTTTCGGACCAAAACCATAAAAATACATTTCTCATTACGAGCAATTAACGGAAATCCATTGCCCCCATACAAAGAATAGTACAATTTTCAATACACAAATTTGTTCGATAATATTTCTTACATTAGCAGACGATACAATCTTTTCACCAATTAACTTCCCTAAAGTAAAAATAACTAAAATAATAACTAAGGGCACTTCATCGTACAACACTAACAGCTTTGGAATAAAATGGCGTTAGATGAACGCAATCCGTATATATAACAAATGAAAAACAATCACTATTACGCATTTGTGAAACCTTTAAACGTTTGGAAGACTTGAGAGCTTAAACGTCTTGTGAGTAAATATATTCTACGTAAAACACAACATAATGTCATAAAAATGTATATTGTATTATAAATAGCCCTACACAGCTATTATTAACTTATCCTCTGATTAACACAATTGAAAATCTATAAACATTACACAAGCCAAGTCCTACTAAAGGTAACGATTAAGTAATAATTAATTAAATTATATTTATGGTGTCAATTAATGTCTACACAAAATCAAAATCAATTTTGATATGTCAAGACATGTTGGAGGTTACATTATTACTTATAACACATTGTATCGCACATAACATAGATTATACCAATTATATAATATCAAAATTATTGCAATTAAAAATAAGAGATAGCATAGACTTAAGCTAAGTAAAATAAATACAACTTTTGCAAATGGTCATTTTATAGTACATAAATCTAAGACAAACTAATATTTTTTATGCTTTCTACATAGTATAAGGTTCAATTATGTCTAAACAGTTCTGAGCTTACTGGGTGGTGGTGAGATATGAGACGTGTAGGTGTAAATTTTTCCACATTTGTGGTAAAAAAAAGCACCTTTTCAAAGCTTGTCGAGATAACTGGATTTGAAAACTTAGTAAGTTATACATAATTTAGTTTTTGAGCTGTTACGTTACCTATTTACACTGGGTCCTAATTGAACTGTAATCAACCGATTTTATTATCGTCACAGTTGATAGTTTTAAAATTTTTTTTTGGTACGAAATTCACTGACAAGTATTAGTCGATTATTCGATTCAAAGATATAGGTTATTTATTTTATCATAAAAATTTCACCAGTGTCTTATGTGTCCAATTTGATAGACAATAAATCATGATGAACAAAAGTCGTCTCCGAAAGGCCTTATACGATTCTTCATTGTATTCAACCGTGCCGCTTTAGAGATAAGGTTCAATATTGTCTGAACAGATTCTCTCCCTCATTTATAAAGAGTAAAGGATGCCTTGGAAATCATTGTCTCCTATCCTCCTTATCCTTTTAACTGCGGGAGTGAGCGAGACGACATCGCAATCTCTATCACCGTTCGGCGGCCGAGGGCGCGTTCCGCTTCTTGGGCGGGAGTGAGGGAGACGATACGCTGTCGCTGTCAGTCGGCCAAGTACGCGTTCTTGGGTGGCGTGGTTGGGAGTGAGGGAGATGACTATACCTATCTCTAACGCCGTCAGTTGTCCGAGTGCGCGTTCCGCTTCTTGGGCGGTGAGGGCGGGAGTGAGGGAGATGAGCATAGCTATCTCTATCGCCGTCAGGCGGCCGTGTGCGCGTTGCGCTTCTTGGGCGGCGGCGTGGGCGGCGTGGGCGGCGTGGGCGGGCAGGGCGGCGAGGGCGGGCGGGCGCGCGACGCGTACAGGAAGGAGCCGCGCGGCGCCCACACGGTGTCGTAGCTGTGGCGGGGCGCGCCCGCAAGGGGCGGGTCGGCCTCGGCGTCTGCGCCGCGCCCGCCCTGCTTCTGCGGCAGCGGCGGCGGCTCCTCCTCCTCCTGGTTCGAGTCCGTCGTGCCTGCAACGGGGTTGAAGGTAGGTCTCGCTAGTGATGGGGCCACACGACAATCTGCGCACGCGTCTACAGCCGACGTGGCGAGAGTAGATACGTAGGGATGATGAGGAGAATAAAGAACTTGTATGGAGTCAAGGTACAAGCTGGACCACGCAGCCAGACGATACACCCTCCTGTATAAACACGAGGCTGGTGAGCCCATGGGAGGCGGTGAGTGGCCACTGGTGCGGGGGCCACGCAGCGGTTTCTGTTATTGCACAAATACAGAGGCTTGTTCCGGGGAAGTACCGAGGCCTCACGGAAGATCTATGTGAAGGGGAAGTATTGAACTTTCGCCTTTCGCATGATTTGTAAGGTAACCGGAGCCCACTTTTTTAAAGGTTGTCAGTATGCAGGTGTCCAGGTGTCCGTGGGCGGCGGTATTCACTTAATACCAGATGAATCGAAATTAAGAAGAAACTAAAAGCAAGAAGAAGAAAAAAGAAGAAGTACCCAGGGAGTCCCTGTTGCTGGGCGGCGCCGAGGAGTTGAGCAGGCTGGCGCGCTGCGAGAGCCGCTTCTCCTTCTCCACCTCCGCGCGCAGCGGCCGCTCCGTCACCAGCTGCGGACGCGCCCACTGCTCCCGTTACTCCGCCTCTCACTTCTCCACTTCTCACGCGTCTCTACTACTCTCCCCTCAATTCGCTATGCGCCTAACGCGACCGTCTCGCGCATTTCTGCCGGACATGGCATTTGTATGAGGGTGCCAGAGCACCCAATGCTTGCCAAAAGAGAAGCCAAATAAATTTATCGCGTTTTATTTCAACTACACATTGCTTCAAGAACTCGATTTCGTCGAGAGAACTACATCGGAGGTTGAGCAACTGATGAACCGAGCATACATAATATAACGAAAGATAGACTTTTAAACGATCCATTTTAAATCTAAGCGAGCGCTAAATTCGCTATTCAAGTATAAGATGTGTAGAATAAAATCTCGTATGTTTTAATGGTCCTTCGAACCGGATAACATTAATTTGGTGATTATTGAATTGTGGCGTTCAAAGGGTCAGTGGTTTTTTTTGTCTAGGGGGCGAGATGGATTGGCGGAGACCTCCTGGCGCAGCTCCCGCAGCGGCGAGGCGGTGTCGGGGCCGGAGGCGGGCGAGGTGGCGGGGGGCGGGGGGGCGGGGGCGGGGGCGGGGGGGGGGGCGGGCGGCGGGGTGCCCGCATACCACTGGCTGCCACTGCGCTCCGGGGTCGCCTCGCTCGCGTCCTGAAAAAAAAAACGATGAAGTAAGGTAACGCACGCCTCATCATTATCATCATTTCAGCCTGTTTGAGTCCACTGCATAGGCCTGCCCAATAGACTTCCACGAAGCACACGATCCTGAGCCACCTGTATCCACCGACTTTCCGCACACTTGCACAGGTCGTCACTTCATCTAGTGGGGCTCGATCTACACTGCGTCGACCCTTTCTTCCCCAACGGTTATCGGTTCTACGAGCTATAGGGCTGGCCCATCGCCACTACAGCTTGGTAACCTGAGATTTGTTACTTATCTTGATTTACTGCGGATGTCTTCTTTACGAACTTACGCCACGTGACGCCTCATGCTTTAATTAAAGATAATCGGCATTAAGTTGGCTCTGAGTCATCAAGCCTTTCACGCGTTCTCATTTATCAGTATCAAGTACTTTATTTTTTCCGACAATACAGTTGTTTCAAACTGTTTTGTACGGTGGTAGGGCCACGCAGCGGCCTCGGCTGTTGCACGAATGGGCAAGCTCGTCCGGGTAATTACCACGACCTCACAGAAGACCGGCGTGAAGTGGAAGTATAATACTTTCGCGTTTCGTCTGGTGAGTGAGGTGGCCGGAGCCCAATTTTTCAAAAGGTTGTCAACACATCTGGAACCCTAGAGTGTCAGCAGATGTCCATGGTAGCAGATGTCCATGGGCGGCGGTATTCACTCAGGTATCAGGTGAACGGTCAGCTCGCTTGACAACTTTTCACATAAAAAAAATATCGTGTTTAATATCAAGTTATAGAAAACCCAAATGCATTCGGCGATATTCACTTACCATCAATAGGACCGCATGTTCCTTGCCATATCGAATTTAGTTTTTATTACCTTTTTGGCTCTCCTCTTTTCGCGCCTTCTCGGCGAGCTTTGCAGGGTGCCGAAGTAGCTGACGACGCCGCCGCTGCTGTTTCTGAAACGTATCGGCGGAAACATGAACGAAAAGAGAAGGAAAAAGAAGGGTAGAGCGAGAAAGGGATAGAATGTTGAAAGACGGATGCGTCTTTTCATATTCTATCTGTATGCAGGCTATGGCCCAATAGGAACAAATTGATGATTTATTTTGTAGTTGTAGTTTTTTTTGAAAACATTGCCCTTTAGAAATTGATTTATTTTTTTATAGTACTAATCTTTGCCCTTTAGAAATTGTATAGAAAAACCCACGTGTTCGGCATTCGCGGCATGACGCTTTAGCCACTATATAAAAAATTTAAATTTCAAAAAGAAGTCTTTCTTCAACAGCCCACTCGCGTTTAATTTAAGCGCAAGAGTTGTTACAGTGAATAGGAAGAGTAACACATTATTCTCGTACCTCGTCAACGGGTTGATGGCGCTGTTGAAACTGAAGAATTTCGACTTGGACGCGGTACTGGAACAGGAAATAATATCAGTGTTAAAGGCCCGAAGTAGTCTTTCGAACTATGGTTGTGAACACCAGGAGGTTTATGGATAAAACCACACTGATCTGTTGCTGGTCTTATTGACCTTTTTTTGGCCTGATGAGCCACCGTTGGGCCTTAGGGGCCTTAAAAGATCCGACGGACTTGAGGTGGCCTGGCGCACGGGTCGTCTAGGCGATTTTTTTTATGGTATCGGGGGAAATCTTCGAAAGATAAGTGACATAGACATGACAGGGCTATGTGGGGTTCTTACCCACTGAAACCCCCTCGGTGGCCACCTTCCGTACATGGGAGATCCCGTACTCCGGGATCCCCCACGGAACCACCTCCCATGGAGGGAGAAGGAGAAACGGAACTCCGATTCCCTCATCCTCTTGAGCACGCCTCGGAGAAGGCAAACGAGACCACTTCGGGCTGCTGCCCATCCGTGTCCCCTTTTAGTCGCCTTTGACGACAGGCAGGGGATACCTTAGCCCTATTCTATGAGCCCGGGACTGCAAGGTCGCGGGGCACCTAGCCTATCTCGACGTAGTATTATTACGCGTTATGGTGACTTAATGACATATTGACACTTAAAATTGATTTCATTGGTGCTGACACCGGGGATCGAACTTAGGTTGCCCGAGTAAATTAAACTAAAAACGAGCGCCCGGACACTAAGCTGTTAATATATCTTATCCTTTAAACGAGCATATATATATATATATATATATATATATGCTCGTTTAAAGGGTTCCGATTATATAAATATATATATATATATATAATCGGAATCTAGGAAACGGCTCCACCAATTTTCATGAAATTTAGTATGTGCGTAGATTCGGGGGCAAAAAATGGATCTAGCTAGGTTTCATTTTTAGAAAATGTCCTTTTATCCCTGTTTTCGGGGAATGAAAAATATAATTCGAATATGAAGGTAAATTTCGCCGCAAGAGAAAATGCCATAATAGCTCGGTCGGTAATCGGGCGGCCCCAAAACAGACGGCCGTGGTTCGCGTCACGATCATTTACACACTTATTTTTTTTACTTTTTTTTTCTGTACCAGATCATTTTCTTTATTTTTATTTTTCTTTTATTTCCCAAAATACATGATTTATCAAAAAAAAAAAAAACGAGCAAAGCTCGGTCCTCCAGGTACTATTAATATATTAACCAGTGAGTGTTATATGCTAACTATTAAGTGTTCACTCACTCGTTCCCGGTGGAAATGTCCGATATCCGGTTGTTGGTCAGAGTTCCGGGGTCCGTCTGTATGCTGTCCCGTAGCGTCCTCCTTCTCTCCACTGGCTCCGTGTCGAATTCGCAGTTCTGCGGTTGCAATCATAAAGTTCGCAATTTCTTCGTTCGAAACAATCGGATTTTAACGTTTCTTTTCTCAATTTGTCATCATACAGTGTTAAAATGAAAACTTTTTAGCTTCTAGTTACTACATATCTATAAAAGCCCGACAATTTTGAACACAAAATGTAACGGATAAAATTCATTTGTAAAAGCTGAATAAGAGACAAAACTTTTTAGAGGAGAGGCTTGTAATAATTGTACGCTTTAAACTAGTTGATATTTAAAGAATGTTACTACAAATATCAATATTTTTGAAGGATTTTGTGTATGGCTGAATGAATTCGGTTAGTCTACATACTCGGGACAGTCAAGAATACATAATCGAGTGTGCAGCGATTGCAGCGCTTTGCTTCTAAAAGAGTTCGGTTTCAATGTATGCGGTTGCAGCGCCGAGGGTATATCCGCTACGAGGGAGTTTAATTTAGAGGTCAATAACCATTCATTTGTATCAGAGGGTGAAACGGCCAGCGATACAGCGCTGCGTCAGTGTGAGCGCTCGCTTTACGCCTGCTGACGCTGTACGTCGCTAAAGCATTTATTTAAAATTATAAGGTCCCCCTCGCACCGATCGCCCCCCCGGCAGCGGATGCAGCGCTTCCGCACACTTGCTTTATGTTAAATAAGTATTAAATGACAGCGGTTCGGTGCGGGCGCGCCCCATCCAGCGGCTGCAGCGCTTCCGTCCGCTCACCCTGCGTCCGTAGCGCTGGTGCACGTGGCGCTGCACGCGCGCGAAGCACGCCTCCATGTGCTCGTGCAGCGCTTGCATCTCGGGCGAGAGCCGAGCGCGGTGCACCTCCAGCCCTGGGGAAGTCACGCGTGGAGCGCTTAGTGGCGGGAAGTGTTTCTTCGTTTTCGAAGTTACACTTCTTTCTTCGAAGTTACACTTCGTTTGGAAAAAATACGAGACAATTTTTTTTCACGCACCGCGCTCACTTCGACAGCTAAAAAGCGACACGATGAAACTTTATTATTAATACTAATTACTATGACAACTGACAGCAACTTTTGGATGTTAACTATATATTATAGAAAATTATTAGTAAAGGAGTATCGACTATTATTAGTATGGAAGTTTTAGAAGTTTAACAGTATAGGAGTAGAGACGATTAATAATATGGGATTTTAATTATTGAGGTTGCCTTTAAAAACTGGTGCCACGCTCTGGGGGAATCGGTGATCGGCCGTTGAAGTGTAAACGTGATATGTTATTATTCTTCTATCGTCAAGAAAATAATACTGTGTGCGGAGATTATGTTCCTTTTGTTTTATAAATGTTCCTTTTAAAAAATAAATTACTTACGGATATTTTAGGATATATTAAACAGGCGGACCGACAGACTTCGTGCTGTACGTACGACTTAAATCCGACAACAAGTTATAAATCCACATGTTGTGTCCTCAGGTGGAGTCGGGGCAGGAGGATGGTGATGAATCGCGATGGAAACTGGAGTGTGGGGTATCGATGAGCGCCAGATACACTTGGTACTGTCTGGGTCCGTGCCACTCACCCATGTTGAGACAACGCGATCCACACGTTGTGTCCTCAGGTGGAATCGGGACAGGCGGGTGAAGAGGAATCGCGATGGACAGACACACTCGGTCCTATCTTTTTTTTTTAAATTTTTTTCTAAAAACATTGCCCTTACTTTAGGATAACATTATCATGTGTTGTAAGCACGTTTTACAAACACAAATTTCACGCGGACAAACGCCCAGATGGGAAACAACTATCTGTGGTGCACACAAGTAGCTGTCCCGCGTGGGAATCGAACCCACGAGCCCCGACGCCGGAGCCGACACGTTGGCAGCCGCACCACGGAGTCACCGATCTAAAATCGAGAGCCACTCACCCATCTTGAGCAGCGGCACCTGGTCGGCGATGAGGTCCCTCAGCTGGGCCAGCAGCGAGGCGTGCTCGGGCCTACGCGCCTCGTAGCTGGCCGTGAGGAAGGCGCGCTCGTAGTTCACCACGCCGCCCTGCACCGCCGGGTCCAGGATGCCTGGAGTCCAGTGAGAACTAAAGCGACGGCCCGTACATGTCCCACTGCCGGGCGAGTTTATGGACAGATGGTCCTTCTAGTCGGATAGTGTAGTTGAACGAGCGAAAGTACGGATGGAGATTTTTTTTTGAATGTTAAAGTCGCCAAGCGAGCAGGCGGTTCAACTGATGTTCAATGAATACCGCCGCCCATGGGCATCTGCTACACTCGAGGGTTGTAGATGCGTTAAAATAATTGAAAATTGGACTCCGACCACCACACTCACCAGACGAAACGGAAACTATTATACTTCCACTTCACGCCGGTCTTCTGTGAGGTCGTGGTACTTACCCGGACGGGCATGCTATCCATGCAACAGCCGAGGCTACTGCGTGGCTCTACCTCAGTTATATGGTCCTTCTAGCCGGATAGTTTAGTAATAAAACCAAAAGTAAGGATGCAGAATATAGGTACATGGTCTTTCTAGCCGGATGGCATAGCCGTAAGATTAATGCCCGGTTTTTATGTTCAACGAACGGCCGTTAGTTACATAGCTTCGTAAATTTCATAACGACCTGTAGATTAAACAACACTAGAAACTCACTTTCCGTAGGTAATTCAACGGCTCGTAAGGAGAACGCCTCGTTTTGTTAACATAGGAACCGTACGTGCACGCCTTTTATCTACGAGTCACGATGAAAGTTACGAAGCTATGTAACCAACGGGTGTTCGTTGAATATACGAACCGGGCGAAAGGGACGATGGGGAGTATCGGCAAGGGCTCCTCGCGGTCGCTCACCGTTGAGCCGCATGGTGAGCTGGTGCAGCGGCGCCTCGCTGGCCCTGGCCTCCCTCACCAGCGCCTTGAGCGCGCGGTTCGTCTCCCGCAGAGCTTCAACGGCCGCCTCCAGCGGCGACACCCAGTAGGTCCGCTCGCGCACCACAGGGAACCAGCGCAGGATCCCTGCGCAGAGGGCCGGTGCCCTTTTTAGGGTTCCGCGCCCGCTGACCGCCGCCAGGCCGTATCTCATAGCCCGTGATAGTCGCACGGTGGAGAACTTTTATAGTGCTAATCTCCGCACTTGAGATTAAACTTAAAGTTTTGAGGATATCGACCCCTTAATTCAGTGGTCTGGACGCCTAATTCGGAATTCGCATCTACGAATCCTAACAGTGGCGAAAAATATAGACGCTTGCGCGTTCTTATGAAACGTCGAAATTTTACAAGGAAATTAATATGTTCGTAGATTACCACCGGTTCGGAAAGCAGTTTCTGTTGAGAAGAAACCGGCAAGAAACTCAACAATTTGCTCTTTTTTAAAAGGTCAGTTTACAAAATAATGTTACAGGTATAATAGTCTTGTTTTAGCCTACGTGAGTATCAATAGAATAAACCCCACACATTGGCGTCGTCGAGATATTCAGCAATAGTATACTATGCTTTAGCCATAAGTTTACTTTTAACTTTTCGTTTAAATTCATCGAGTGTTAGAATTAATCTAAGGTACAAAGACAGCACTTAAAGTTTGAAACAAAAATGAATATAAAATATCATATTTATGGTTATTAAGGATGTTTCACGATGTCCCTTTTCACATTTCATATATTGATGATTGCACTTAAATTCCCACGACAACCACCTCGATTTTCCGGCCCACGAACCTGGCAACTTGTCGCTGATCTCGAGCTCTGTCCGCTCCAGCCATCTCGTCGCAAACTCGTTCTGGCTCGACACGTCTTCGTTCGACCCAGTCAGCGACTCTTCTGCGCACGGAAAATACAAAGTAATTTCTTGTTTTTTATATTCATATTTCACAGGGCTAAATGAAACGATAAATTTCTACTAATTACAAATTTAAAATCGAAATGAAACACGGTGCAATACGGAAAATAGCTTCATAAAAATCTTTATTAACTAGAGCGATGAAAAGATATCACCCTATAATAATATCTTGAATTTACGTGATTACATATTACTACTACTGTCTGTCTGTCTGTCTGGCTGTCTGTCCGTCTGTCGCCAGGCTCTATCTCATAAACCGTGATAGTTAGACAGTTGAAAATTCACAGATGATGTATTTCTGTTGCCGCTATAACAACAAATAATGAAAAACAGAATAAAATAAAAAAATTATTTAAGGGGCCTTCTGTACAACGGTTGCGAGCCAACCTATAGGTATTTACCAATTAGTTTAACAAGTTATATTGTTAAATTATAATACATATTATAATTGGTACGGAGCCCTTCGTGCGCGAGTATGACTCACGCTTGGCCGGTTTTTTACTAACCCTATATTATCCTAGCAAAGGCCTCCTTTGTACAGAGGGTATCAGGGCATAGTCCACCACGTGGCCCCACTGTGAATTGGCAGACTTCACATATCTTTTTTTTGTTATTATTTCAAAAAATATGCAGGTTTCCTCACGATTTTTTCGTTCACCGCTGAGCACGTGATAATTCGGCAGTTAAAATTGGTGCCGGCACCGGGGATCGAACTCAGGTTGCTCGAGGTTGCCAGTCACTGGGCTATCACGGCTTCAGCATTTATACTATTCATTTATATTGTGCTTCAGCATTTATACCATTCCTCACCCGGTTTGTGGAAGGGCCTCGAGAAGACAAACTTGTCGACGTCGTTGTACTTGTAGTACTGCAGGATCTGCTCGGCGACCGGTTTGCCGGAGAGACGCTTCAGCTTGTCGCCCATGACGGGTTCCACCGCGTTGATTTGGAGGTCTGATCGGCTCTATTAAGGCCCTTAATGATATTCCAAACGGAACGTGGTTTGTGTAAGGTTTCTCTAAGCATTAGATGATGAGTTAGTCTCTTGAGTGAAGGCGTAACTACCGTTATTACTAGATACAAGATACTTGATATGATTGCATTAATTTACACATGCTACATGAAGTTTGAGTTTGAATATTTTCATAGAACCTTGTACGTAATGGTACGTTTCGAAAAAAAAACTACTTAAACCATTTCCACGTTAGCACTTTTTGTCGAAGTGTCGACTTGGTGATGATAGTGAGGCAATTGCCGATACCTATGCGCGGTAAAACCTAATGAGAATACACGCGTCAGTGGCTCCGTCTACGCCTGTCTATCCTTAAATCATTTTCGACGTGCGCATTTGTGGTCCTTCGGGCCGGACTCGAACCCGCGATCGCTGCGCCAAAAGGATACACTGCCCCTCCGACTCGGTGATCTCCTCGCCGGGCGGGTCCAGCTTGTTGAGCACCTCAGCGTCGGGCCACTCGTCCAGCAGCCGCTCCTTGAAGTCCTGCAGCTGCTCGTACTCATTGCCGCGGTACACAAAGCCCTGAGGGGGTGAATGCAACGCAATTCAGAGTTACGGCTAAGCAAAAGGCAATGTTATATAAGGCAGTGTATGCTGTTTACGGCTACTTCGACGCTCGCCATCACTACTATATAGAAGAGAAACAACCGTCAACTAAAGAAGGAGGCGCAAGAGGCGCAAGGGGCACGCACGTGCGGCACGCGCAGGTGTTCGGGGAAGCCGGCGCCGAGGTAGCGCACGCGGAAGTAGCCGGGCGGCGAGCGCGGCGTGCGCAGCATGGCCTCGTAGAGGCGCGCCAGCTGCGCGTGCAGCTCGGCCAGCGGCGCGTAGCCCAGCGCCTCCGCCTCGTACACGCCCACCAGCTCCTTCACGGCCTCCACGGCCAGCTCCCACTGGCGGCCGCGGTTCAGCAGCTGCGCGATCTCCAGGTACAGCGCCTCCTGCCGCCGGTGGGGGGAAGCGCGTCAGAATGGCTCGTCCGGGGTGACAAACTTTTAAGGTACGTTAGAAGTTATAACGTACGGTTGCATTTATAGTTTTATCACGCGGCGACTCTCATTATTGCACGCGACTGTACGCGAGCACACTACGCGGAGCTAGCTTCAGCTAGAAGCATTTGAATTTTCCGCACTCAATACCGTATCTCGCCCTATTCGGGTGCCGTTACTAAACTGAAAATAATACAGTTACTATGTTGGGGCTAAAATTTGTTTTTGTTGTCGTGTAATAAAATATTACATTGGTATGTACGTGAGTGAGTCAGTCGCGCAATAAACCAGGAAGCTGCAACTCGTCTTTTTATTTAATTAATCCCGTGCACTATATACAGTCTATTTTCAACTCTAATATACCAAAACATACTACAATCCATATTTCCTTTCAACCGGCTTCGAAAAAGGTAGGTTCTCGATTCAAAACATACTACAATCCATAATTCCTTTCAACCGACTTCGAAAAAGGTAGGTTCTCGATTCGGTTGTACGATTTTTACGTATGTCCTTATAACTCCGTCATTTACGGACCGATTTAAAAAATTCTTTTCGCATTGAACTCGTATTAGTTCCGTCGATACGACCAAGGTGAGAACGAAGAGGTGGCACCTTCAGGTCCCGGTGGGTCACGTGCTCCGGGCAGTCGTCGGTGGGGTGGCGCAGCCTGGGCGGCAGCGGGCAGTCGCCCCACTCGAGCAGCTTCGCGTGCAGCCGCAGCGCGAGGCCCGCCTCGGCCCACTGCTGGGCGTCGCGGTGCATCTGCGCCAGTTTGTGCACGTATCTGCGCCGATGGACGAACGATAAGAGCTCTATTCATTTGGATGCGGCGCTCTCGAGTCGCTGATGATTGTGGTCTCGCTACGCCCAATTTCTAGTTAGGAAATGGTTGCGGTAGATTTGTGATTTTGAAACAAATATTTATGAAGTTTTTATAGGGCCTCCCTCAGATGCAAATATGTGCGTGATATAAAAGAAATGGGTGCGTGTACTTATGTACGCGCGTGAGAAGAAATACTTCATTGGCATCATTAAAAAATGGTTTCTAATTGTATGCAAATAAATTAATACAATAATATAATGAAAAGACTGAAATAGGATATAAATAATATAAATGATAAAATTATGAAATCGCCATCTACATTCTTCATTTAAAGAATAATGCTACCATCTATAATAAGGGTAGCTTCGAAGGTGTAACTTTTGCGATACAGTAATACGCGCGCATCTTAAAATTTGACTCTCAACATTATTTCATAGCGCGCCTGAAGAAGTATAGCTTCACGAAAACCTCGGGCACGCACCGTATGTACATGTGGGGCCGCTCGATCTGCTCGTAGAAGCGCAGCACGCGCGTGGTGAGGTGCATGCGGTGCAGCGCCGCCGCGCGGTACTGCAGCAGCGCGTCCAGCTGGCGCGCGGCGGCCGCCACCAGGGCGAGCCCCGCCCCGCCCCCGCGCCCCGCCCCTCCCCCGCCCCTTGCCCCGCCCTCGCCCGGCACAGCGCCCCGCAGGCGGACACGAAGCGCGCGCGCCACGCGCCGTCGCCCAGCCCGCGCGACGCCAGCACGTCCAGCTTGTCGATCAGCTCGCTCTCGAGGGCGCGCAGCGGGTTGTCGCCTGCGCGGAGGGAGATGTTAATAGTGTAACAAGTCTATCTCTATCTCTATCTCTTTCTCCCACCCTTCCTCTCGCTCTATTATAGCCCGACGTAAAACAACCTCGCCGGCGGAAAGGGAGACGCATGTGCTTTGTGCGGTTCTGTATTTTTCTCTGCACAGCCCACACCCCCCCCCCCCCGCTCTAGTATAGCACAACAAAAAACACCCTCGCCTGCACTAACGGAGGCGTATATGAAGCGGTTTTATATCTCTTTTTCCCACCCCCAACCCCTTACTTTAATATAGCCTAAACACCCAGCTACAATTGACACGAGAGCGTTCGGCCGCTACTCCTTAGCCTAACCGGGTGTATGGTTTTGAAGCGGGATTGGTAGAGTTCCTTACATACATCCGGTGAAGAAGAAAAGGAGATAGATAGCTAACCCTCTATCTCTTTCTCCAACACCCCCTCCCCCACTCTCTCTATCTGTAATAGTCTGATCGAAATTTGCTCGGAAAATTAAAGGGCGTAACTTCTTTTACAAATCAGCTCTCTTTCTCTCTCTCTCTCATTATCTCTATCTCTTGACGCCTAATAAAAACCTCCCCTGAAGGCCATAAAATCTTTTACGAAGGAAATAGGATAGCCAATCGGACTTTCGTTCAACTTAAAATAAAAATGCATTAATACATCCTCTAAGAACAATAAATATAGTATACGTTTATCAACAGTGGTCATTTTGAATGCAGCAGTTTCTATCGCGGGCGAAAGCTACCAAATAAACGGTGATCACGCGAAACTCACTGTTCTCGCCGCTGGCCACGTTGTGCTCGTACTCGGCGAGCATCATGTCGAAGAAGAGCGGTATGGTGGTGTTCCTCACTTCATCGTCAGGGAGGAAGCTCACCTCCAGGAAGGGGCCGACGAGGAACGGGATAAACGAGCGCTTGTGCTCGCCTGAAACACAATCGTCGCATACTCTTGGTTAAGCCCATCTGTTGTTTGTAAAAAACAATGTCCCGCTGAGGTTCTTTCAGGTCGGTTCTTCTCGGGTCAGTGTTTTTTTTTTTTAGAACAGGTAATGTAGTAATTGTTTGACGTTTACACTGGCGATTCAATTGTTTCATATTTTGGATAAAAGATGGTACGATGCGTCTTTTACACAAAGTATTACACTTTCACTTCAGGCCAATCTGCTGTGAGGTAGCAATACTTCATCGGACGGACCTGGCCATTCGTGCAACAGCGAAGACGGTATTGCACCAGTTAACATATCATATATGAAATAATATATGACATGAATTTGAGCACAGACAAATACTACGGTGGTAGGGCCACGCAAAAGTGAGCGCTGTTGCACGAAGTACAAGTGTTGCACTTCTGCGTTTCGTCTGGTGAGTGAGGTAGCGGGGCCCACTTTATTAAGAGAAGACAACTCATCTGCAACGCTACGAGTTGCAAATGTCCATGGGCAGGCGGGTATCACTTAACATCAGTTCCTTCGCCGCTTTCTGACATTAAAAAAAAAGCAAATACTAAACGACACTCTCGTGAAAATCGCGCAAAAGGTAGGGGGCGCGGCGGTGCCGCAAGTGGCTTACCGAGCGCGTACCACATGTCGGCCATCGCGGCCGCGACGTCCCTGCGCAGGTCGCCGTAGAGCGAGACGGCGCGTCGCCTGCGCAGCGGCGCCAGCGCGTGCAGCTGCAGCGGCGCCGCCGTGGCCAGTGCGGCGCACACCGCGAACCAGTCGCGCAGCGCGCTTCGCAGATGAACCGCCCCCGCCCCCGCCCCCGCCCCCGCCTCGCCCTCCGCCGCCTCCCCGTCGCACTCGCCCTCCCCCTCGGAGGCGCGGAGGCGCTCGCGCAGCGTGATGGACAGCAGCCTGGAGGGCGACACCGATGTACACCCCTCTCTCTCTCTGCATCTCTGTCTATCTGACGTTTCAGATGCCGCTGTACCATCCCATCCCTCTCCCCAACTTCACCCATCTCTGTCTAATCCCGCGGCGGAAGCATTCTACTACCCGTCACTTCAACTTCACGCGTCTCTGTCCATCCTCCACGGCGACCGCCATTGTATCAACTCCTCTCTCCGACTTTAACAGTCTCTGTCTGTCCCCGCGGCGGACACCGTTGTAATACCACTCTCTCCAATTTCACCCATCTCTGTCTATCCCACGCAGCGGCCTCCGCCATTGCGCGTGCACACAGCGGGGTGCCGGGGCCCACTTTTAAAGGATTCCAACGTTTTATGGATGTACGCAACAGCAGCAGCAATCACTTAACAACTGATGACGCGTCTGCTCGCTTAAGAACAAATAACAATAATTGAAAATCCCTACCACCCTCGCCGCACTAGACACCACTCACCTTAAGGCGTGCAGCATGACGTAATGCTGCAGATGCAGCATGTCCGCCCAGTGGGGTCTGAACACGGGCCTCTGCAGCAGTTCCAGCATCAGCGCCAGCGCGTCGGAGATGAGGGATCCGGAGCCGCCAGCGCTCTCGTGCTCCAACGCCTTCACCAGCAACGAGTATTGCTCTTCGGACATCTGTCTCACCATATCCAGTAACACGCACACTATCCTTCTCTGCAAATCAATAGAAACGCGAACATATAATGTCAAAGTCAAATATCTTTATTCAATATAGAAGCATTCACTTACTTATTGATAGTCAAAAAACTCTACCACCGGTTAGGAAGGAAAGCCACTGACCTGAGTAAAACCGGCGTAAGAATCTCAGCGGGACATTTTTTTTTTACTTGCCAAAAAAATTACAAATATGTGTACAATTATTAAATTCCACTTGAAAGAGCCTGGAGCGATCAATTCATTTCCAGAGTGTGTTATCATTCAGATAATCACCAATGGTAAATGATTTTGGTAGTCACTTACCTATAGTCGTTTGTTGTACGTTGTTTTTGTGTTGATGTGAACTTTGTATAATTATGTAAAACGTAACACAGAATAAAGTTATCCTACAGTAAGGGGTAATGTTTTCGAAGGGAAGACTACAACATATCTTCTAGAAGGCAGTGTCATCGGGATTCCCTTTCCCTTTTTTTCCCATTCGCAACAGCTGTTCCACACATCGCTTCTATAAGTTGAAATATAAATTAAGCTAAGATTTTATGCAAATAAATCTTGACACAACTGTCTATACCAGATGTGGAAGTAAAGTTACTTATTAGAATTGGAAGAATGCTGAGCATAGAGTGGAATGAGGATGAGATCTAAATTGGCTTGCGGGGTCCTTAATGAACCCGTTGATCCAATTAGAACCCCTCAAGACACTTCAGACCGAATCCCGTGGTTCTTAATAGATACATCCTCAACGGTAGGTACCACTAAGGGGTCGTCAGCTACGCCAGAGCCGTCCTTCGTCATCACCCTGTCGCTTAGCATCGTGGCGGCGGTCTTCAGCACCGTGGGCAGCAGACGCCTCGCAAACTCCCCCCTGTCCGCCTCTACGGGACCCACGTCGTCCCGGGAGAGGAGGGAGACCACCTCCCCCATCGTCTCCACGCAAAGCTCCACCTAAATCCGTCGTGTTGGTTGTGAAACGGTCGTGGGAGATAGCTTGTAAAGACACCGTCGATAATGTAAATGTCTTTTGTTTCATATAAGTCAAGAGATGAGACGTCTCTAATGTGGTATATAACCCGAAAATTGGAAAGACTTGAATTATATACCAAAAAGCGGTGCATTTAGAGTTGTCTTAAAAGATGAATCGATAAGCTTAGTAAAATATGAGGAATGTGTTTTTTATAGAATGTTATCTGAGCAAATAAAAGATTTATAATACGCATTCAAGAATGTTACTTTCTAGTTAATATAAAGCGAGCAGAGTTTCAAACTGGAACAAAAAAGCCAAGCGTTAGTAAGTAGACAGCTGAAGCACTAACCTTGTTTTGCTTCAACATGGCTGCACAAAAGTAAAACATCACTTTTAGAAGGTAATCCAAATTCATGTACGACTCAGAGATTATTTTACTATTTTTAATATTACTATCTATTATACCTATCTATTATTTTGTTATGAATTCACATCAGAATAACAGATAAAATAATTGAGTAATTTTATTCAGATACTTTTCTAAAAACGATAGGATGATAAACTGGTAACTCGATCGAATTGAATAAGAATGTAGAAAGGAAAAAAAACAGCTGAGAAAAGACAGAAGAAGGGTATTAGATTAAAGAAAATTTAGTAGACGATGAGAAAGTTATTCGAATGCTTGCGTGATTAGAGAATATCTATAAACATTGTTTAATTTTCTATTTAAATTATCTGCATCAATGTCCGGAGTGAAACACATTTAATAATCCTTTTACTTGACGAACTTACTTTTAAATACCACCAGCAACAGCCGCCAGATGTCGCTGTATGCACATTGAGTAACACTATAATTTACAATACCTTGACACGTACTATATACTTGTACACTGGGTACATAGTACGTATTACGTTGCGTACGGGAACCGCTGTTTGGGATGTGTGCGCGTTCCAGCTAAGTAGCTATTGGGATACGTACGCTATACGTACGTGAGATGCTATGCAGGCGTCGTGCGCTGTACGTTGCGTACCGTCTCCATTGGTATGTATGCTCTACAGTACCTGTGACCTGTTCGTCGTATACTGGCTCCGTGCTCTCAGTGTGCGACAGTACGTACCACGTGACTGTGGTATATAGCAGCTCCCTTCACTTCTGTGCGCGACGGTACCTACTTCTTGATCGTTGTACATAGCGACTCCTTCCAATTCTGCGCGTAACGCTACTTACGACGTGAGCGCGGCGCGTACCTGCTCCTTCCACATACGTGCGCTTTTGTGCGCAACTGTACCTTCACCGTGAGCGTTACACGCAGCGATTCTCTGCATTTCGTGCGCGGAAGGACCTACGATGTGACCGTTGCAAGCAGCGGCTCTTAGCAATTCCGTGCGCGTCAGTACCTACGATGTGAGCGTTGCAGCGGCCCCTTACACCTCTGCGCGCGACAGTACCTACGACGTGAGCGTTGCAAGCAGCGGCTCCTAGCAATTCCGTGCGCGACAGTACCTACGATGTGAGCGTTGCAGCGGCCCCTTACACCTCTGCGCGCGACAGTACCTACGACGCGAGCGTTGCACGCAGCGGCCACAGCCTCTGCGCGCGACAGTACCTACGACGTGAGCGTTGCAGGCAGCGGCTCCTAGCACTTCCGTGCGCGACGGTACCTACGATGCGAGCGTTGCGCGCGGCGGCCCCTTCCGCCGGCCTGTGCGCGCGACGATACGTACGATGTGTGCGTGGTGCGTGTGCTCCTGCAGCCGCGTGGCGTCGGCGCCGAGCAGCCGCGCCGCCTTGCCCGCCGAGCGCGACTTGTGAGCCGCCGCTCGCTCGCACTGCCACACGCACGCTACCGCTGACGCTCGCGCTCAAGCGCCGACGCACCGTGCGAGGTGGCGGGCTCCGGGGACTTTGCAGGCGTGGGGCTCGAAGTTCGCGGGCGATTCGAATATTGACCATACTCGTGTAGGAAAAACTCTTGCCCAACGGTGGGAATGATTACTCACTACGCTCACGCTCGTGTGATTGGTACAAAAGGACGGTTTGGATGATGGAGTTGGACACGGCCCTTCGCACTCGATCCGCTTTTTCGCTACTCGTTGATTTACTACAAGCGAAGTACATCTTCGCTACTTTATTAGAGATCATTACTTTATTAGCGATAATTTTTGTGGGTTGCTGGTTAATATTACACTCAAAAGGTTTTACGATAATTTGACGGTAGCGTCTGCGCACACTTACAATTTATTTTTATTGTCATTAGTGTTTCTCTAATGTGTTCAAAGTTAAAGAACTGTTTGAAAAATTGGCTTCCATTTTTGAAATATATCGCGGCCCTATTTTTTGGGTGGTCTATTCCCTGGAGCTTCCGTTCTGATACCGCATCTTCCGCGGTCTCCTCTTTCACCACACAATTTGATTTATGTCTTGTATTCACTCTTGTCGCAGCATAATGCTTCATGAATACTTAGCTCACTAGGAAAGAGACGTCTATCCAACAAGAGATCGTGGTTTGTCCACGTTTGGAAGGCTAAAACTTTCAAATAGCCCATTCTCATTCTCTTACACGACTACTATGTTAGATTCATTATAAGCCCAGATTAATGCGACAAATTTAAACCGTGGCCTCGGAGACAAAAATCAACTTGAGAAAGACCAGAGTAATTTCGCTCAAGTGCAAAGGGTTGTGTACATACATGAGCATGCATCGCCAATTAATTACTTAGACTATGTACAAGTTTCATCTGAAACCCAACATAGCCAAACTAATAACAATTTTACTAAAGATAATAAAAACCCGCAAAGTCCTCGGAAACTGTTTCAAGAAGCCATCTCTCGCCCGGCGTTCTTCGAAGAGTAAAAAAAATCATTCATTCTAGAGTATACTTTTTTATCATGCGATAGATGGCCAAGTAGACAACAGGTCAACTGATATCAAGTGATTACTAGTGCCAAATTTTTTGACGGATCAAACGAGAAGGATGAATTTTAGTAATGAAAACTGAAAAATGAAGTGAATTGAAACAGTTTTTTTTTACTCTTCGAGGCGACGGCTACAAAAGCGCGCGGTAACGTTAACAAGACCAATCGTTATGGGATTGAACGGTAAATAACAAATATAAAACAAAAATATCCTATTCCAAAATCTCGTAACGATTGGTCCGAGCTACACGCGCGAACTGTCAATTGTCACTTAAATGTCAAGTTGAGAGTTCGCGAGTGTAGTACAGTCGGGTGAATGTCGAGTGAACAACACGCCGTCAAATATAACGTTTGTCAGGGGTGGCGAACGATTGGGAACATGACTTCTAGTTCAAATCTAATTGCCGCTTCTTGTCACAATAAGCTCGGTCTGCTTAAGAAAAAGGAATTGCCAAAAACAATTATTTTTCTCAAATTAGTATTACTTTTTTAATGTTTAACTAATGGCAAGTGATTAACAAAAACTGCCTTCACTCGTTGCCCACCCCTGCATGTACGTGCAGACGTGTACGTACACCGTTTATGCAGCCGACTGTACATGCAACATCGAGAGTTTGCACACAACGTCAGCGGACAAGCGACAATGGAAGCTCGCTTTAGTGTTATTGAATTAATATGTTTTATGATAATTAATTGAACATCAAAAAAAAAGATATACTGGAAATAAAAATACTGACAATAAAAAATAAAAAAAATAACATAATATAAGATATGACGTTGATTGGGTTTTTGTGATTGATGTGTTCATATTTGAGATGATGAAACAAAATTTTATTAAAATCAACATTTTAGCAAAAGGGAAACCTTTACGTTTTCGCGAGAAAAAAGTACTTTAGGATTACCCCTTTGTTTCTTCCCTTTCTTTCCTTAATGATATAAGTCGATTTAACTAAAAATAGGTGTTTTGTTTCATCATACATCGATCGTATGTTAGATTATATATAAAACACCGTGTGGCTGTTGTGTGTTGATTAAATAAACACATAACGAATATAACGGAACGTATACAAACACAGACTACACATAATAAGGTTAGTCGATATACAGTGATATAACACGCACACACACACACACAGTAAAAGACAGGAAAACATACAAAAGTAACACGTAGTGCTCTGTGCAGTTTACTAAATTACTAACCCCAGTAAAGTCAGCTAAACTAAAATAGACATCATATAGATTTTGAACCAATAAGGCAATCTCCAGAATCTTCATATTTATCAAAGATTTGTAGTTACTCGAGAATTATTTAAGCATCCAATCCTTATTACATCCGTCTGGTTGGGTCCTATTTATATATGTATTATTTACCAACCATTATTATTATTTATTTATATAAAGACAAAATTATAGCTCAGTCTACACTATAATCAATATTTTTTTAAATTATTTTTAAGAAAACATGTACGTTTTAACACTATGTTTTATTATTTGTCGACACACGATAATGAGATGGATGCAATTGCACCAAACGATCTCATTTGGGAAATTCATTATTTTAATGCGCTGTATGCAGTGAATTTTTAACTATTTGGGTGGTGAAGTATGAGGAAGCGGAGGAGGGGTAACGCCGCTAGACCAAGTCATTCTTTACCTAGTGTGTGTGGGTAGTGATGGGCCGTAGGATACTATCGATAGTATCATGGAAGGCTTTCGAAAATGTACACAGATGATCCCTATAACATCTTTTATAGACCATGATTGTATTTTACTTATATATTATATAATAGGAATAATAATAAACAAACAAATATAAAGTATGAGAAAGCAATCAACAATTTTAGAAAATCTTCTTCCTGTTTATTATTATTTCTTTAATTAAATGGAAAAGGAATTGATTAAAAATACATCTTAAAGTCAAATAAATTAATAAAGGCAAATTACTTATAATTATTATTTTTTGTTTTTATGGTTTATATTGTGATTTTAAAGAAATGGCTCATAAAATTTTTGCAGAAATTACGAATACAACTTTTTTATTACATTTTTTATATATTAGGAATTTTAATTTATCCTTTAAATGTTCAAGATTTACTATGTTATATTACTTTCTCAACTAAAATTAAATTTAAAAAACTATCGATAAAATCTTTATTTATATCGATAAACGACAGCAATTATAACAAGAATCGAAATTTTGTCACTTTCCACATACCTCGCGTAACCTGTTGGTCCGAGCGTCATACACAACGGTAAACTATTGATGTAGGTGTAGTCTCAAGTTCAAACCCTCATCGAGTGGAGTTGTATTTTTTATATTATTTTCACTTTTAATTTGTTAGACAGCAAATTATTTTGTTTTTATTTTATAAAATTACTCAATTTGGGAAATAAACAAATTAATAAGAAAAGAAAAATTATAAAACAATTATTTTTCGTGTATAAATTTTCGTTTTAGGGTGAAAAATTAAATATTTTAATAAAAAATAGATGACGTTAAATAATTTTAATACTAAAAGTTGGTTTATTTACTGATAGATTGTTCTCCAACTGTTTCAACTTTGAACAAATACAATAATATTTCGTTGTAATTATTTATGAAAATAAAAATGGTATTTAAGAAATATTTCCGAATAAGAAAATCAACAATTAGTACAACAAAAAACTTAGGGATTTGAACCCAATCCATAAAGAATGATGGTCCTATACTACACTGTATGTATAGGACTGATAGACCAATCACGAGATAAGACATTGAAATTACGCTTTAAATAAATTAATTAACAACTGATAATACATACAAATAATTTATAAATACGAAATATGTGAATAAATATTTTTTAATTTCGTGTTTTGGAAGGTCTAATAATATTATAACTGTCAATAATAAATAAATACGAAACATATTTCGTAACGGTGAGCGGGCGATGAGCGGCATAAGTCCATCTAGCTAGGCGCCTCAGCGCTCTCTGTTCAACGTGTGCAATTAAATGAAGAGAGCCGAAAATACGCCGCGGTGGCGCGGTGTTTTGGCCATCGCGTTCGAATTAATTTTAATGAATTTAATTTAATTTATTTACAAATATCTAATATATTTACAAATATCTTACATTAATCAAAAAATTAAAACAACAATACTTTTTATTAATATATTCTACACCACTGATATTAATTTAATTAAGATTTTTTGATGTATTACGTTCATTTTTGGATTTGAATTTCCCTTTTAGAGGTAGTTTCATGATTTTTTTCTATCGAGAAAATATATCGAGAATATGTTTTGGAAACAATGGTCCATTAGAATGTACGATCAAGGTTAACATATATTTTTTTTGCTGCTGTAAAATGTGTAGATTTTGCTAAAAAATCTTTTGAAAACCCTATTTTTACTGCATACAGCGCCTTAATAAGAGAACATAAGGTTGAGAAGTATAGTTTGAATGCTACAATATATTTATTACTAGAAATTAAAATCTGACTTTTTTACTATATATAGACGAAAATCTTCACAGGCAACTTCGAAGCACAAGTGCGAACAATTTTACTTAGCCCCTCGAAAACACATATAACGAACGACACATATAACCCAAACTGTCTAAACATAAACCCCAACAACATCTAAAACTACCCTCACTTAACGTAAAATGACTTCTCACACACACCTACAACAGTGCATACGTACACACATAAATATATACATACATATTGACGTGTTCGTGTACGGAGTGACAAGTTCGCAAGTTAGGCCACGTTTTGTGTGCATACCTCAAGATGCTGGTGCGTCGTGAGTGCTTACAATAATTAGTTAGGAATGAATTCGATACGAAAATGGCAACATTACCTTTTCCGATTTCCCGCCAAAACTTCCAATGTTTCATACCTTTATTATTATTTATATTATCTCTGTATTTAAAATACGAGTTTTTGTAAACAATTTTTGCAGATATTATTATAGATTATAACTTATGCACCTTTTATATTGGATTATGCAGCTAAGTCCTTTCTTGTTTTTTTCTCTTCACCGGCCATTTTTTATACTCTGTATCAATTTCATTCGTCAATTTTAGTGATTACATTTTTTTTAATAATAGTCGTGATGTTTTTAATAGCAAATGTTCTGACAGTTAATGGGAATGTTACGTTAATTATGACACTTTTAATAGTCCGTAATGACTAACATTAAGTTTATGAGCGAAATACAGTCCATCTTATATTAGTATGTAGGTTTTAGTTAACTAGACAATTAGGTACTTGATAAGGAAACGGTGATCAGATATATGCCTAAATAAAATTGCAGTGCTTTTAATCTGTTCAAGATATACAGATATTAGTGCGTGTCCAACTGCGTTTGGAATTGATGAAAGAATGGAAAAAAATATTTTTTGTATTTTACGTAAAAAAGTTCTGGTTAAGTCAATTGGGTGATCGAAGACAGTATTAAACGGACTCTACATTGCTAAACATCTATTGTTCATTAGACAGTTCAAAATATTCCTTAAAATTTTATATAACCAATTATAGAAAATTATGTACTTGATCATAATTGCAGAAAATTGTTTTAAAATGTTTAACTCGTTAATCTTGTTCATAAAAAGGTATCAATTAACTACATTAATACATTAATTTACGATATGGAAATACTGCAACTTGTTTCTTTACGGTGTCTGAATACATACATTAATAAATCATATTAACTTTAAGATTAAAAGTATTGTACAATACAATTCACGACAAACACTCCACATTGAATACATTTAAACAAAATTTGGCTAATAATATAACATATTAAATGTAAAGTAAGTAGTCTCATGTATGTTAAATACTATGACATTAATTAACAGTGAGTTAGTGACACATAACAACGGTTAGTGACATTTATTGAGGTTAGGTTAGACAAACATGGACCAGCGATGGGGTTTTTGGATTGAATATTAAAGCGTTTCTCTGTATTTTGAATGGATAAATCAGTGCCAAATATTTTCTTCAATAAAAATGAAACTTTCTTATAAAAGTTATCAGTTTAAAGTTCTTCCCTATGCATTAAACATTATTTCTGTACGAACTAGGGTTGCCAACTCTTATATACAATCCAAACGCCCCAACGATAGCGTACCAAGATGGCGGCGTGACGTCACCGCTTCGCATGCGCATGCGTGCTTACCTCCTCAATCGGCGATTCCCGCTCTTACTCCGTTGGGTTAGGGCCGAGAATCGCGCGAAGCCATTCACTCGTTCCAAACCAGCGTACATAACGAGAATGTGATTTGACAATAATAATTAAAATACAAATATGTATATTGATGGTATATACAATACAAAGTATAAAATGTAAATAAAGAACAATAAATCAGTCCAATGGCCACAATAGTGAAACGTCAATTATTCATAACTAGAATTCAACACTCAACTGAAGATATACTTTGGATTAATTTTATAGTATTTTACAGATTCTATTAGGGTTTTATAACTACAGCATCTGATTATATGAGATGGGAGAATTGAGATCACAATAAAATAAGTGTACGGAATAAATGTCTTTGGTTCTTCTAGTTTCATTAAATTTCTTTAGTCTTACGAAATCTATGAAATAATTGTTTGTTATTTCATAGATTTGGCTTTCATAGAATTAAAATGTGTAATATTTGCATTTTTCCATTCATCCTTTTTATTTATCAAATCTATCGTCGTTATGTACGCAAGTAAGAGTATATAAAAACTGGTAACGGCAAGTCCCGGCCCAAACCCGAGCTTTGATTGAAATAGGGTGAGAGTGCTTACATACATACCATCACAGGTGATTTAAACGGACGGACACAATGTGTTAGTTGCTAGTTGTATGTATGGAAGTGGTGAGGGGGTTGTTATTAGTGTATTTGTGTCGCTCGCACACATAATGGCGTTTAAATGACATGCCCACATACGTCTTTTGTATATTGTGCGAGTGATTTAACTAATAAAATATTTCAATTGTCATTACTTTGTTTGCGCTCGCGTTTGTTTTTGATGTTGAAAGCAGCAATGACTGTCAGAGTGTGGATAGCGTTAGTATCGACGTTGGCACCTTTAGAGTCACAGATTTTGAACGGTTATGTTGTCTGTTTGCGAGTGTTTTCTGTACATGTGTGCGTCACTCTCGCGCGTGTCGTGTCAGTGTGTACTCGTACCGTAGTGCGTTTCCACCCGTACATTATATGAGGCGCCGCACAGTGCGACGCGTACGAGCGGGCGAGTGACCGAGTGAGCGGGTGAACGGGTGAGTGAGTGAGCGGGTGAGCGGGCGAGCGGGGCGCACCTCTGCGGAGGCGCGCAGCAGGGCGCGCAGCGTGGCGGCGAGGTGGGGCAGCAGCAGGGCGCGCGCGGCCGGCTCCGAGCCGAGGGGGCCGCGCGCCAGCTCCAGCAGCGCCAGCAGCCGCTGCTTGCTGAGCCGCCCCAGCGGCAGCGCCTCCAGCGCGCGCACGCAGTACGCGCTGCCCGTTCGTGCGAACGTTATGGGCGTCATGCGACGGGTATGGGGCAGCGGGTTATATCGTTCGTGCCTTCGTTCCTTATACGGTGGGCGGTGGTCACAAAGATCCATTGGTTCGTTAAAGTAAGGTAAAGGGGATAAGGATCCATTCGTCCGTTCCTTCGTGCGTGGGTTCGTGAGTCTAGTCTAATAGGCTTAAAGTGTCTCTTATTTATTTTTAATGAATAAATGTCCATCTAATCAAAATTTGTATAGCAAAAACAAATAAATTACCTCTACGGGCCCATATGAACTTATTTTCCAATTGATCAATGTACGCATCGGGTTTTACCCTTGTTAGTTTCCGATGTGAAAGAGCCAAGCGGTACCTGAGCTCGGCCTCCGGGTAGATGCGGATGGCGTGCGGCACCGCGTGCGGCAGGTACTTGAGCGCCGAGCCCTGGCAGGTGAGCGCGTGCTCGCCGCGCCGCATCAGCCACACCAGCGACTCCAGGAACTCCTGCCGACGGAAGGCTTTATTGCCCTGGGCCTGGGGGGGACGGGAGCTAGACGAGATGGGAGCGAGAGGAGCCCACCTCGAGCCGGTAGCAGGGCTGCGCGGGGCCGGGGCGGTCGGCGAGCGCGGCGGCCAGCTGGCGGCTGCGCACCACCAGCCGCAGCAGGCTCTCCAGGCACTTCATGCAGAGCAGCAGCCGCTTCAGCGCCGCCTCGCCGCCGTCCGCCGCGCGCACCGCCCACGCCATCACCGCCAGCAGCTTCCTGCCGGACGAGGAGTTGCCTCTCGTGGCCTCTGCTAGCCCTTGCCTCTTTTCTCCGGCTAGAAGGACCACTGACGAAGGACCACTATTGGTCTCTACAATGACCACTATGTTCTCTAATAGTTGTTGACTCTTGTTTTTTGTTTATGTGAGAAGGTGGCAGACGAGCTGGCGGTTCAACTAATGTTAAGTAATAACCGCCGCCCAAGGACATCTGCTCTACCGTAGGGTGGCAGTGCGTTACCACCTGTTGATAAAGTGGGCCCCGGCTACCTCATGTGCCAGAAGAACCGCAGAAGTGGGGCACTTCCACATCACATTGAGTTTTCGTTTTCATTGAGCTCGTGGTACTTACCCGGACGGACCTGCCCATTCTTGCGACAGCTAAAACACACCTTTAACTCCGATGTATTATGGCATTCAAAAACTTTGCCCTAAACATCGTCTGCCAAGGGGTATGTTTTAGGGAATTTCGTCACCCACTCGTAGGCCAGGGCGTCGCAGAAGCTGGTGTCGATGTAGACATGCAGCACTGGCAGGAAGTGCTGGTACTTGTGGTCGGCCACCAGCGAGACCACCCTCAGGAGGCACTCCAGCACCAGGACGCCGTAGCTGCGCTCCGAGTAGCCCTCCTGCTCCTCCTCCACCTGCCACCCCGACCACCGTTAGTTTTGTGCAACTCAGTTAACTTCAGTTCCCGCACGAGACAAGTATTTATATGCGTAACCCACAGACAATTGTTCCGGATATAGTGTCCATTTCCCAAGGAGGATTGACGTCAGGCAGATGGCGGGCCGTAAAAAATATAGCCAGCACGATTCACGTGTTGTGCCGACCCCACCTAGGTAGGCTAGCAAGATGATGATGATGAGATAGGTTACAGCCTTCGCTTCTCGTTCGCGCTATATCCTATTCATTCATCACTAGCCCCGGCTTACCAAGAGTTTTTCAACTTATAGTAAAATAAATATATATATATTGTATACTTATCCCATTACAGTTACAATAATAATAAACGACAATTTGTCAGAAACTTAATATGAATAATACATTGCTACGGATTGATAAAAATTCGGTAAAAAATTTCCTAAATGGCTTATATATTTATATTTAAATTTTACTATTATTATAATTAATAAATATAACTATCTATACTGCGCTTCGTTTGTTAAGTAAAGAAGTCGGCTCTAAATCTTATGAATCGTCTCCGTTTAACGTTGCTTTAATTTTCGAATCGTATCGACCTGGGTGAGTATGCTGAAGAGCGCGTCGAGGATGTCCTGCAGGAACTTGACGAGCTCCTCGCTGGGCACCAGCAGCAGCCGCTCCAGCGCCGAGCGCAGCGTGCCAGCCGCGTGGTGCGTGCTCCACTTCAGCACGCCGAGGATCTCCTCTGGGGAGGTGGGACTTTACATGTGGCGGGGCCACGTGGTGTGTCAATTGCACCGGCATAGCGCTAATTAGAACAGGAGGTCCGAAAGGTCGTAGTCGCGCTGGGTTCGCGGAAGACTTCGTCTACCACGACCTGTATACCAGAGGATGTGGGTTCGATTTCCGCCACTGAAAAAGTATTGTGTGACGAAAATAGTCCTTTTCTAGTTATATATGTGTAATATATATTTTTTTACATATATAAAAATATGTTTATCAGTTATCTCACGGTAGAAGCGTTGCTTAGTTTTGGATTAGAGAACATTGTGTAGAGAGTATTAATTATTACATGTTCCTATGTTTTCTTGCGATACAAGCGAAAGGTGCAACGTGGGTCTTTGAGTGGGCATCCGTCACTGATCGCGATTCCCACATATCCCAAATAATTTCTGCCACGTTCATTGTTCGAGCGCGGCGTGAGGCGGCGTGAGGCGGCGGAGGGAAAGGGCGGGGCTAGTACCGCGCTGCGTGAGCTTGGTGGAGCAGAGCCTGGTGGCGACGCAGAGCGAGTCGCGCGGCAGCAGCGCCAGCAGCCCCCTGGTGAGCCCCTTCTCGGCGCCGGCCGGCAGCTCGTCGCGCCGCGAGGGCAGCCCCAGGCACACGCCGGCCGCCTCCGCCTCCGCCTCGCCGCCCGCGCGCCTGTGCTCGATCTGGGGCGGCGCTTAGTCTAACTGTCACGGTTCATGAGATACAGCCTGGTGACATATTAGTTTTAATTAGTTTCACGCAACCCGGACGCCGGATGAACAAACGGACAGTCTTAGTAATCCCGTTTTACGCTTTAGATTCGAAACCCAAATTCTCCCGCTGTATTTCCTTCGCAGGTAAAATACCACTTCCAGTCTGCGTAAGTACCGCGACCTCACAGAAGAACGGCGTGAACTGGAAGCGTTATACTTCTGCGTTTCATCTGGTGATTGAGGTAGCCGGGGCCCACCGTATTATAAGATGTCGACGCATCCGCAATCCGCTTTAGATGTGTTGCAAACATCCATGGGCGGCAGTTATCACTTAACATCAGGTAGACCGCCAGCTTGCCTGCCAGTTTTTCGCAAAAACAAAGCCACGTGACGTCACAGTAGAGAGCGACGCGACAGCCCCGGCGGCACCTTGTAGACGCAGAGGTTGTGCTGCATGTCGGGCGTGGTGGTGCCCTCGCGCTGCATCAGCCGCAGGTAGGAGAGAGCGAAGAACTTCTCGGCGCGATCCTTCGCCTCGTTGGAGCTGCGGTGCCGGCACAGGAACACTATGTGCGCCTCCTTGAACGCCTCGATGTCCAGGCACACCTGCGACCGCGACGCTTTTTAAACTCTCCTTCACCGCTTAAAACTTAAATGTGAATGTTTTATGGATTTGGCCCCTTTATTCGGCTGACTCGGGCATCCGAGCGCCTTACCCGGAATATGCATGTGCAAAAAACACATTTAATTTTCACTTTGATTTAAAGACACTAATAAAATTATACATAAATGATTTTGCACAACTATCAAGAAACCGTATAGAGTGGATTTTTAAATTTCTTACCATTCCGCCATCTGTTAAATGAGGTGCAAGTGTTTCACCCGAAGCATTGCATGCATTAACTTTTTAAAACAATAAGTTTATAGTGACATAATAATAAGCGAACTACATAAACCATTTCAAAATCTCATTCAAATCCAAGGCGTATTAAACAAACTTATAAATCCTCGCATTCACAATTAACCATTTTAAGATTAAAATAAACAAAAAACGCTATCTTAACGCTCATGTAATTCGCATAAGCATTTCAGCACCAACTTCTATAATTGTTTGTGAACACTCGAAACGCTCACCTTGAAGACCTCCTGCCACCGGGGCCTGTCGTCGTGGTAGTACACGAGGGACGTGTATTCGTTCACCAGCGGGAGGTCCGCTCCTATCGATATCACCCCCTGGGAACATGGTGCATGGTGTGTATTAGCATTGCGTTTTGGTCCTTCGAGCCGGATGCGCTAGATGATGCGTATAAAACTGTGCTTGTAGTTAAATATATTGAGGTTTCGTTCTTATAGCGGAATGTACATTGAGAAAGTATTGTATGTTATAATTAATGTCTAGTAATCAATAAAGAAATAGCAATATTGCAATAGCTTCCAATTTGAATCCTTTGTTTGTATGTAACCAAGCATATATAGATGAACATTCCTTAGTTTATAACTAAGTAATGTTCATTAAAGATGTAAAGGTGTAGAGGACAAGCTTTATCAAGTGTGTCGGTTGTTTTAAAGTGATTACTCAAGGCGTAAACTAAAGTGTGATTGCAGTAAATTTTGGCGAGAAGCAGATCTGCAGTCTGATCGGGGAGCGTTGGGGTGTGTAAGACTTCGACGGGTTTCTTCGGTGAGTAGCAGATGTGTATTCTGTCCTTCGGGGATCGGCGGGATCCTAGGGCCGGGGCGGGGCGGGGCGAGGCGGGGGGGGGGGGGCGGTGGGGGCGGGGCGTACCGGCACGGTGCGCCCCCGGCGGTCGACGACGCGCGCCGTGAGCTCGACGTTGCGCTCGGAGGACTTGCCGCCGCCGCGGCTGAAGGCGCCGCCGCAGAGCGTCACGTAGAGGTCGTTGCGCGCGTCGCCCGGCAGGATCACCTCGGGGAAGCCCAGCTTGCGCGCCGCGAACCCGTGCCCCACTACCAGGTGCGGGCTCTGCTCCACCACCTGCCCGGAACGTGTCCCGCATCAACCACGTTCTCTAGTCATTTCACTTTTTCATTATACCTAAAGCGTTCGTCTCCACGGCGGCGACAATCTTTTCGTACTTTCTCTACAAACTAAGCAACGCTAATTAAATATCCCGACTAACATTATAAAGGAGAAAGTTTGTATGTATGTATAGATGTTTGTTACTCTTTCACGCTGAATAGATTTTAATGGAACTTTACCATAATATAGCCTATACATCAGAATAACACATAGACTATAATATGTAATATATTGTGTGAATTATACAAAAATATAGTTAATGATAACTGTTTACTAAGTAGTGCACAATAAAAAGCTCATTGTTGCATATAACAGCTAGTACTCTATATTAAACTCACTTGTTTCAAATCGCCCTCGATCAACTGAAGCGATACCCAGAGCCCCAATGGGTTTTTCGTGTCTTTCAGCTCGCGGTTCGATATTATTTTCTTCAATAACGTATCCATGTTCTCCTTTTCACAGCTGTAACAAACGTTAATTGCTATTTGAACGTTAACATATAAACTGAGAATATCGCTCGACACAAAACAAAAATATTGAACAAACACTACTCTTTAATAAAAACTGCGTTTTACAATAAAATTAACGCAGACCTAACACGTTCCACACATGGAAAACCATCGTAGATTGGGTCCCAAATAAAATATAACAACCAATGAACAAACTCGCATTCTCACACATACAAAACTTACGACATACGAACACTCAACCAGCACAAATTGAGCCCAAAATCAAATATAGTACATCCGAGTACGAGGCCAACTAACGCACACACACACACTCACGGATAGAAGGGCAGCTGCAGCTCCTTGTGCGCGAGGTCCGCCGCCAGGGCGCGCGTCACGTCGGCCGCCGCCACGCCGAAGGGGCGCCGCATGCCACGCCCTGCCACCGCCCCGCCACCGCCTGCCACCCCCGCGCCCGCTGCCACCGAGCTGCGTCTGAATTGCATCAACCACCGTTCTGTTACAACCGGCGACCGACGGCCAATAAAGGCTTCGAGTGGCAACCGCGAGCCGGAATTCGAGTTTGTTTTTTGCATTTCACGTGGAATGGGGTCGGTAGTGAGTCCTAGAGATCTATTGTAACCTTCCTTTCTTCCTTGAAATGATCGCCCCCTCACTGCAGGAAAACATTATCATGTGCTGTGAGGGCGTTTTAACTACACAGACAAACAATTTTTACAGACAAACGCCCAGATCGGAAACAATTATCTGTGAGTCACACAAAGGATCCCGTGTGCGAATCTAATGCACGACCAACGAACCCCGGCGACGGAGCCAACATCTTAGCATCTGCGCCACGGAGTCATTGAGACGTGGCGTTCGAAGCACTCCTGCTAGATAGAGCGACTACATCATAACAGTCGCGAGAAACCGGTATATGCAAATGGCATGGTGCGATTCCTCGTGGCATTCTAGAGGTGACAACATTGTTCAACGGTGGACGTCTTCCGGCTGACGATTATGATTACCATCATGAATTATAACTTGCGCTAATTATCATTCCAAGCTTGGCGCCTACGGTCACATTAATAGTATAGTACAGTACCATTATAAAAAGGTCTTGTACCTTACACTAAAGCAGTATAATGTACCACACGTTTCGCCAGACTTGATATGTCTTCTAAGAACACTTCTTGGGACAGGTCTGCACATTCGTCTTGCATCAGAAGTACACAAAAAAAAAGGCTACTACCTGATCCTACTACAGTTAATTACACGTAGCTAGTAGAGGCCACTACCCGCTGTCATTAACAATACCTGTTGTCTACGTTCTGTGGCTCCATAGCACCAATTCGCACCACGTGGCACGCTAGGAACACCTTCTCCTTCTTTATGTCGCTTCCCAAGTCCTGCAACAGCCCACGTGATAAGGTCCTGATTATTCTCGCTTAGTAAGAAAAATATATAGGATTATTTATGAATTATTAAATTACATCTAGTGGTAGTTTTTAAAGCCAAACTGTCATCCATTGTAACGGAATGCAGTGTTAGTGAAGAAGTTGAATCCGTCAATGACTTATTAAATTATCGCCAAGAGACAATGGAGATGGCGATATAATGACGATTTTTGTGTTCACCGTTCAGGATTGAAACAAGCCCCAAAGGAACTTGGGTAAAGAGAACGAGTGATGACGGTGATGTAGAAAGCGACGGTGATGATGAATATAAACAGCATGATAACGTTTATTTATGATAATATAATCCAAATGATGGTGACATCAAGATGTCAATGGCGATGACATTGTGTGTTAGTGACGGTGACATTGAGATGTCAATGATGAGAATATTGAGATGTCACTGACTAAAGCACTGACATGTCATTGACGGAATTGAGATGTCAAAGACGATGGCATCGAGATGTCAAATACGAAGCCACTCACCGTGAACACGAGGTGGTGGGGCGAGTGCGCGGGGAGCGGCCACCGGAGCAGCAGCTGCTCCGTGATCTTGGCGCCGGCCGAGTCGTGCAGCGCCAGCAGCAGCTCCGCGCCGGCGGGAAGGCGGCACACGAAGTTGTGCACGCGCACCACCACCGTGTAGGCGCGCGCCGCCCCGCCCCCGCCGCCCCCCGCCCCCGGCGAGGACCCGCCCCCTGCACCGCTGGCGACGGTGGCGCCCTCCTGCGGCGGAAAACGATTTGTTAAACATGTCGCTACGTGGGATCGCCTAGCTGATCAAGACGAGCAAGGTTAAATGCCGGCCAAGTGCGAATCGGATCCACGGGCGTAGGATTCCGTACCATTAATTTCTATGAAAATGGCAAAAGGAATCATGTCTGTTGCAAGAGAGCTCCAATAAATATAATTATTACGAAGAGGATATAGTGTCCTTAGTTTATCTAAGTTGTCTCACACGCCCAGAAACAGAAAGTGATCCCCGCTTAAGTAGAGGAAAATGTCCCATTATGTTTGCCAAATCCTTTTTACATAAATCATTTATAAATGAATCGAGAATATTATACTATTATAATATTAAAACAGACAACATTGCTGGATAAGAAGGTGGACATTTTGTCTCCCAATCGTAAACCGTGCTTCATTGTCATGCCTGAGTGCGAACCAAATTCCACAACTTACTTCTATGTCACACAACCACACCACATCGAGCGTTCAAAGTCGTGAAAGCCTGTGCGAAATATAGAAACGACAAGCTCACCATGTTCTTGTCGAGTCGCGCGCTAGCCTCGTCGTGCAGCGCGTTCAGCTTGTACGTGGAGGTGGTCAGCGGGTCCACCAGCTGCCCGCCGGGGTTGCGCACCGCCAACTCCATCCCCAGGGCCCTGGACAGTAAGCACATCGCTGCAAGTCACCACATTAAATGGACGATTACTCAAAGCCACCACTAACCTTCACCACTAACGTCCTGCTTCTAGTTTAACAAAACGAGGCGTTTTCCTTACGAGCCGTTGCATACCCACGGATAGTGAATTACTAGCGTTCCCTTAATCTACAATTGGTTATGAAAGTTACGAAGCTACGTAACTGACGGCCGTTCGTTGAATATAGGAACCGGGCATTGGTGCATGATTTTTTTTCTGTCCAAGAAATCTGCGATATAATGTGATATGGACAAGCTTTCGTCCGTGTATAATAAAGGTTAGGTACCTAACTCCTATTGTATAAAAAGTGGTAAATTTCAAAAAATTTACTAATAAAAAGTAGTAAATCAATAGCCTCTAACCTACACGTCAGATCTAACAATCAATGTGTGATCAAGACATTATTTGGTCATCTGATGTGTGAATTAAGGACTTGTATACAGATCACGAGAAAATCACGACCCGCCTATGTTGTTAACAAACGTTAAGATTTTCGTCAGTGTGGCAATCAGCCGTTTAGCTTAGTGGCTAAAGCGTCAGGCCGCGAAGGTCGAAGACGCGGGTTCGATTCCCCGCAGCGGCGACAATCTTTTCGTACTTCTTCTACATATTTTAATGTTGATGAACCTGTTGCCCTTGTCGATGGTGAATATCGCGGTCCTGGCCACCTTCCTGAGCTGGTCCTGGGGTAGCGCCGAGGAAGCGGCCTGCGCCCTCAACTCAAGCAGGGCGCGCATGCTCACCTCCATGAACTTGAAGTGTTCATCGTTCGTCTGCGGGCGAGAGCCAACGCTATATCGGAGGCATGTCTGATGAGCCAGATTTTGAAGCGGGCTGAAAGTATTTCTTTCAGAGGCATACATTTTTCAAAATTATTTCTTTACACAAAAAATAGTATAAAGCATAAAGTCCTACGACGCCTGATTAATAAAATATCCAATCGTATATAACATCATAATTCATTGAGCATTCAAGGATTCACTAGCACATTTTTTGCCTCTCGGAAATTTGTGTTTGGTCACATAATGCTGTTTAACTCTGAGGTACAGATATGAAAAGGGCTTTGAAGAACAGACGAAACGCAGAAGTATGACCCTCCCACTGCACGCGGGTCTTCTGTGAGGTCGTGGTGCTCACCCGGACGGACCTGCCCATTCGTGCACCAGCCGAAGCCGTTGCGGGCCCTACCGCAGTTAAACCCCTCAATACGTTATACTACGAAAATGACAAAAATGAGACGCGTCAGTATACTCACTATATACAGCCTCTTCCAATCTTTGAGCCACTCTCGGAGAGTGATTGCAATGTCGTGCACCACTCCGCCGCCGCCTGCCGACGCGACCACTGTGTCTCCGCACCTGGATTCATTGTTATTTGATATTCTCCTTTTTATAGTGCTAATCTCTGCACTTAAGGTAAAACAGTAAAGAAGGTCCCAGAAACATGTCTCCTTTCATCTATAGCGGTACCGGAGGTTGAACCAGGTCGCTTCTAGTTGTCTTTATGAGTTAATAATTCCTTCATTAAAAACTAATGATGCAATGAAATGATGAAAGTGAAAGCGTTCCGTGCTCTGGGGGTTATTTGCATAGACGCAGTTTAAAACCTTCGTTATTAGGCAGTGGACACGATAACTAACTTATCGAAACTTACTACTTATCGAAACAAATACTAGTGTTTCGATAAGTAGTAAGTTAGTTTAATAGAATCTCTACAAAAAAGTATGATGTCTAGGATTAGTTACATAGATGGTATGTATGTACCATGATTGTTATAAAAAACGGTATGTGTGAGATTGATATCTTTCTGACTCTATGAACCTTATTAATAAAAAAATATTCACTTACTATAAAAATACTTTATTAAGACCATAGCCCTGATTTTCTCTTTATTTTCTTTTTAGTTTAAATTTTGCGTTTATTAACTAGTAAGTAGGTTTCTCTACCTAAGAACCGATTTTAAGAAAAATTTTGTGTTTACCCTTAATATCAATACATACATGTATATGGTTATTATTTAAGTTTAGCATGTCTTATGTAAATGATTTGAATGTGTTTAGTTGGTAAGCCTATTCAAATAAATAAATAAATATATTTATAATTTTATCACACTCGTCTAATACAACAAAGCATGTTTTGGTCGCTCCTCCGCGTGTTTGTTCAAAAAGCTCTCTCGATTTATTTTTAAAAGCGCCATACGTAGCAGATGTTTACCCTTTGGATATTGTGTGGGCGTTATTATCGACGTTTTGTATTTATTTTTCGGGCACTGCAAACGGAACGATATAAAAAGTGTGTTTTATATGCGATCAAAAGAACGTATTACTATTGAGGCGAACAATGTTTAAAACAACGCGGCACTATGTTCTCACGTGTTAGCGGCCTGAACTAGAACAGGTGTGAGGAATAACACAAAAGATTTAGTTTACGGGAAGACACCTCCACGGCGCAGTTGGCAAACCACTGGCTTAGGCACCGGGGATCGTGGGTTCGATTCCTTCATGGGAGGAGTAGTTGTTTGATCAACAGACAATTGCTCCGGATCAGATTGTTTGTTCCTAAGGCGGCCGATCCTAAAAAAGCTAGCCATTAACATATACAACATGATACGTTTTGCGCCAACGCAACCTACGTAATGGGCAGGACAAAGAGGATGAAATACCCCTTTTTACGTCTCACATAATACTGGACACCTTTTATATGGGATGTAAATGACGCGCAATAGATATCAAGAAATTTGAACCCTGAGAAAAACCCCTGGCCTTTGGATACTTCACATCCTATCTGGCCAATGTATCGTTTCAAAATCAAAGTCAAAATTTCTTTTTTCATTATATGGCTATTTATGGCTTATTTTGATATTTGAGAGATTTGAGAACGGCAAAAAACTACCTCGGGTTCACTAAATTTCACCTGTTCAAAGAAAATTCGACAAAAAACTGGTCTTGTTATCTTTTTTTTTAATTACACAAGTATACAAAATGATTTAAGTATAAAATCAGCAGCAGACAGGGGTCTTGCGAGTGCTGAGCAAGAGTCATTTTCACACATCCTTATCCTCAATGCATTTAACATCATAATAGGCCCTGTCCATTAGGTTAGCTTTTACAAAATGTTTGAAGTTTTTTCATTAAACCACTACTTACCATCCCACATGGTCTTATATAGTACACGCATTAGCTGAGTAGCCTTACTAACTCTTGTTTTGAAGACGCTCATATTATGCTCGGAAGGAAAAACTGACGCAGGCAAATTGTTCAACTGTACATCACAGTTGAACAATTTGCCTGCGTCACGGATCACGAAAGAGTTAGCAAATCGATTCGTTCACACGCGGTAATTGTATAATGTAAAGATTAGATTGCAAATGAATGCTGGAGAGCACATAATTTTCTCTTATATGTACTTCATACTGTTACGTACATAACGTTTACAATAATATAGATAATATAGTGAAGGTAGTACTCAATTTATATCCTAACTTGTCGCCAATTGTCCGAGTCCCATCTTTGATAGATGTCGTGGTTAAAAACATGCTCCGTTTTATTTGAATATGAGAAGATGGCAAACGAGCTGGCGGTTCACCCCAAGTCAAGTGATAACCACCGCCCATTGAAGTTCGCAACACTCGTAGGTTTGCTAATGCGTTGCCACCTTTTAAAGTGGGCCCCGGCTACCTCACTCACCAGACGAAACGCAGAAGTATAACACATCCACTTCACGCCTATCTTCACTGGGGTCGTGGTACTTACCCGGAAGGCCCGGATAGGCCGGTGCCTATTTGTGCAACAGAGAAGACTATTCCGTGGCCCTACCACAGAAAAAGTATAAGATGTGCTGGCGATAACACATATAAACATTATCTTTCTCTGCACATATATGGCACGGTTAGTATTCCATTTTTCCCTTTGTCTCACTATTGCGTGGCACTACCACACAAAACGCATAAGATGTCGTGTCTTTCTCTGCACATCTATGGCACGGTTAGTTTTTAATTTTTTTCCCTTTGCCTCAATACACTCTAAAACACCCGGACGCAACCATGATAGCTCATGGTCCGAACGCTCGCTTTTAGTTCAATATACTTAAGCAACCTTAGTTTAAATCGCGGTGCCGCCGACAATGATATTGTTAGCAGTTAAATGCTGATTTATCACGTGTTCAGCGGTTAAGGAAAATACAGTGATGATATTTTCGAAGTAACAAGAAAATAATCGAATCAGTTTTAAATCCACCCATCCGTATTGGGGTCGCGTGGAGGACTATGTCCGAATAATAATACCCTCTGCACGGAGGAGGCCTTTGCCCAGCGGTGGGACATAAAATATGCTGACTTTATTTACCATCCCCTCTACCTCGATACCACAAGAAAATAAAGACATTCGACCATCATGAAGTACAAGTATTATACTGTTAATTATATTATGTTTAAAGGTCTAATTAGTTAGTTCAGGTGTTATAGAGACCCGTGTAATTAACACGAACCGCCTACTCGCTTGCAAGTTCTCCCATAAAAGAATACAATTCACTTAATAACGAAAGTGCCATAATTCGCCAGCTAAATATCGTAGCCGTTTTTTGGCAAAATGTACAACTCCCAGCGGTTGTATACAAGACGTAGTGCCCCCTAAGGGGCGCTATAAAACGCCTCCGGAATTTTTTCCTCCCACATAACTGCTTCGCCACTGAGATCAGTACAGGGTCCTCTCGGGAAATAAGCGGAGAGCTCGATACTAGGCGTGTGATATGATACTTATCGCTTAGCGTTCCTTCGCTGAATTATTTTCTTACATCACGGTAAAATTATCGAGAGGAATAAAAGAGACCGGCGAGACTCAAAGTTCATTTTTAGGGTTTCCGTACCCAAAGGATAAAACGGGACCCTATTACTAAGACTCCGCTGTCTGTATGTCATCAGATACTTTTCATAGGTGATATATTATTAGAGACATGTTATAAAATATAGCTTTTACCGATTCATACAACTATAACTCAACAATGACTCAATAATTGGATAACAATAATACTTAGCTTTTCCAAAAGAGCAACAGCCTTAACTTCCAATAACCAAAAAACCAACCCGCGTACGTTGTGAGAGTTGAATTTATACCCCTCAAAAACAAACACTAACCACCCCCCATTCTAGGGTGTAGTAAATATCACGACACAATGGGTATCAAACCAACAAATTTTAAATAAGTCACAACAAACTGTACTAACAAATTATTGGTAAATTATTAATTAGATGAAATATGTACCATAATTATGACACTATTTCTGTTGCCGCTATTAAAACAAATACTAAAAAACAGAATAAATAAATGTTTAAGTGGAGGTATTTTATTCCCGTTTTCAAAGGTACGGAACACTTCATGTGTGAGTCCGACTCTTTTTTGAAAACAAAATTATATGCAACTTCAACATTTTACGTTACAAATTATTTCCTTTATCGAACGGAAATGTCGAAGCAACTTTCGAACGATATGTATACAGCGTGTCGTTACCATCGCGACAATAAATGAACACACGTCTAACGTTACTTGCCAATAATCATAAAAAAATATTAACGTTAAACAAAATTCATAATTAAAAAAAAAATATTTTTCAAACAAAATAATTAAGTAAAAAATAAACAAAATTTGTAACACCTATACAACTCGCGCCACAGCGTCGTATTACAAGCCTCTCCTTCTAACAGTATGTTTTGTCTCTTTTAAATTCATTCAACCCATTCATATGCCATGTGACCTTTACAAATGAACTTTATGTTACAGTTTTTTTACGTAAGGTTGTTCTAAAATTCTTTGTTTTGGAAAATTTAATAACTCTGTAAATATTGATGTTTAAAGAATGTAAATGTTTAATACAATTTTAAAAAGTTATATTTATAATAAATGAACACACGTTCATTTATTGTCGCGATTGTAAAGACACGCTGTATATACGTGGAGTTTAACTGTATTAACGCCATGCAACAACTTCTCCTGTTTCGTGTTTTAACATTTGAACTTTGGACTCCTTTCGGAATGGACATGTCGACTGTGGTACCACGCAACAGTCTTCGCGTTTGCACGAATGAGTACGTTCTGGGAAGTACCACAACCTCACATAAGACCGGCGTCAAGTAAAAGTATTAAACTTTTCCATTTCGCTTGGCGAGTGGGGTGATCGTGGCTCACACGCTAGTTACCAAAACATTAAACCGCATTTTATACTGTCTACCTGTCCGTTTGTGAGTTTAACCACTAGTTATTATTCCAAAAATATGCAGGTTTTCTTCACCGCTGAGCATGTAATAAGTCAGCACTTAAAATTAAGTATTTCAACGGGCATTGATCTCAGGACGGTCACGTATATTCAATTAAAAGCGAACGCCTGGACACTGAGCTCAAAAAATATGAATGGTTAAATATTAAATAGACAAAGAAAAAAAATTTGAACACTTTTTGTCGGTCTGTCTGAGTTTGTTCCGACCAATCTACGAAACGTCTCGACCGATTTTAACAAGACTTAGTGATTGGCTGTAGTTTTTATAAATAGTATATAAAGAACACTATAAAAACTTATATAATTATGTGTTATTATAGGGGTTTAAACTCCGATATCTCGGATCCATCGCCCGGAAACTGACCTTCCACGCCTCTAGCATTTGGCGCAGCAAATAAAAAAAATATGATAATGAACTTGTACGTTCAGATAATAGTGAAATAATCTTATCTCAGACGATATCTAGATAACAACGTGGAACGAAAAGATAGTGGGGTGGATTAGGTCAGATTTTTTACATGCCTCCATTCACACCAATTTTGTTGTTTAAACATGTTTAAAAAGACTTCAAAATGATTTTTTTTTAAATATTTAAATTTTTCTACAAATTTTAATATTTCATCTGAAGTGCACAGATAAGCGCTACCTGTTATAATTTAACAGTTTCATTGATGCGACCGGACACTGTGCTATGCCGGCTATTCTTCTATCATTTCTAAACCTGTTAAATTTGCCTGATTTAGACCACTGCCGAACATAGACCTACCGACGGGCTGCCATTAAGCACGATCCCGAGCAACCAACAGGTTAACAACGCGTGAAAGCCCTCAGATCGTACACGTGCATGGGAGGCGAGAAGGAAGACATTTATCTTCCACTCTACGAAACAAGGCACCGAACGTTTACATTTATTCAAAACGAAAGACGTCCCATCGTTTTCGCTTCTTACTTCGTTAATGTAAACCCGATAGCCGGACACCCGTCCCCGGATAACTCAGTTGAACGTGAATCTTCATCCGCCCGGCCGAGGCGTTATCTTGCGTGCAATTCAGCGCCCTCTGTAACGGCCGCCATTAGCAGATTGGGGGCGCGTCGGAAGTATCGACGACGCGCGATAAGCGGCGGCTGGGTCGGGGGAAAAATACAGGCGAGAGCTAAAGGGGTCTCCGGTAGAGGAGTTAATCAACGCTCGATAAGACTCGATTTGAAGTTCCAAGGAAATACGATTATGAATCCGTTGTTTAAATGGTGATAAAATCACTTATTTCTTTAAATCATTTGTTGCCGGCCTTGGATAGTCCGCAAAAGTCCATGATCAGGGCCGCCATCCCAACTGCGTCTATCAATTTCCCCGTTTAAACCGACAGATAATAAAATACTATATAAAATGGCTTACTATTCGTCAAAGACGTAGTTCTAGAATTCTTCTTACTCTCTTCTCTATTCTCAATGACCCTGCTTCTCCTAAGTACTTAAAGGAAAAATTCCAATATCTCTCATTAATTCACGAAAAAACACTTCGTTCCTCAGCTAGTAGAATACTTTGCCGACGCATCATTCCGGCTTTTTCCATAAATCTTTTACTGTTCAGGCTATACTACTCTGGAACTCCTTGCCTCAGTTCATCAGAAACGCACCAAGCAAGGTATCATTTAAGAAAATGCTGCGATGTCACTATGCCAATATTGCCGACTGTTAGAGTCACCAACTTTATCCGTTTCATATATATATATATATATATATATATATATATATATATATATATATATATATATATATATATATAATACCTATATATATTTATACTTATTATATATAATGTTTATGTATTGAAATTTATATGTATTTAATGATTATATGTAAAGTATTTATTTTTGAGTAAATTATATTTCTATAGAATGTACCTTTGCTTTTTTTGTTTTCTTTTATTTATTTTTCTTTAATTTATTTCGCGTATTTTGTTTTGCACCTCCGTCAAACTTTCTCTACTCCCATGGTTGACTGGAAGAGAATGCTTATTAGCATTAAGTTTGCCTTTTGTCTACCCTTAAGTTGAGGTGTAAACCATAAATTTTAAATAAATAAATAAATAAAAGTAAGCCCGGGACTACATGGTCTATTGTAGAATCAATAGACCAATCTAAATCAAAAACTTTATTTCAACAACAACCGTCAAGACTACCTTAAAAAAGGACTTGTAGAAATAATGAAAGGAAACTCTCGATGTATAAAAGGCGATTTAACTTAGTTCACACGAACAGATAATAATCACAAGCAATTAAGATGAAACGACGACAAAGGAAATTAAATGGGGCTAATTTTCACTTGTTCGACTGTATTCTTTTTGTATTTAAATTAATTTATAATAAATTCACCTAGGTTATATTCTTCTCCAAGGTCCTATCTATCTTTATACCAAAATTCATCAAAATTGTTTCTGCGTTTTAGCCGTGAAAGCGTAACAGGCAGACAGTTACTTAGCTTTCTTTTTTCTTTTCTTTTATAAAAAACATTGCCCTTACTGTAAGATAATTTTATCCTGTGTTGTAAGGATGTTTTACAAACATAAATTTCACGTGGACAAACACCCAGATGCGCAACAACTTTTTGGGTCACCCAAATAGTTGTCCCGTGTGGGACTCGAAGCCACGACCCCCGACGCTCAGTCGATACCTTGGACACTGCGCCACGGAGTCATCAACTTTACTACACTTTACTTTTTTTTTAGGGATGCGATCTTAGGCCAACCACGCGCGACGATGTACGAACACAGAGTACAGGCGGGGCCGAAGTTCTGGCCAGTATGTTTGGCCGAAACCGAAAAGGAAGAGTCTGACTTTATTCGTTTTAAGGCTTCGACGTTAAAAGGTCGCCGTGTGTACTTTGGAGCCAATGACATTGCGTTGTTTCGTGCATTGTTCTGTAGGACAACCTTATCCAGTGTTGTGAGGACGTTTTAAGAACATAAATTTCACGCGGCAGACCCCCAGAACAGAAACAATTATTTGCGGATCACACAAAACCTGTTCCGTGCGGGAATCGTATCGAGGCCCGCCGGCGCTGAACTCGGCCGCGGAGTCATCAGTAAGGTCCTGTTATGCGGATTACTTACTGACCCAAACCACTGTGCTCTACTTATCGCGTTTGAGACTAACGAAAGCATTAACTATGTTAACACCAGGACACCAGAGAACTCTTTAATGACGTCACCGTTATAAAAGACAATATGCCCGTATGATCATAAGATTTCAATCAGAAAACTTTTTACTGACGCCTGTGGCCTCGTTTCAGACTATTTATAACGCCTCATCGAGTACAATCAAGGAGTATTATAATCTAAGACGATATACGGAGCGAGAGAAGCTACACTCGTCAACTGTTATTACACTATGCTGTGAGTTTCGAACCCCACATAGATGATGAATATTAGATGATCCATGAATGATTGTTGCAAGTGTTGTTCTACTCTGTGCGCCATTTCGTAGGACTTGTGAAGCACTCGCGGATAGGCGTTACAATGCAATGTAAACAATTAAAACCACAATTTAAACTAGTAAATTAACAGCCTGTACATGTTCCACTGCTGTCCGAATGCCTCCTCTGTATACAGGGTATTAAGGTATAGTCCACCACTCCACTCGACCCCACTGCTGATTGGCGGACTTCACATATCTTCGAAATATTTTTTTTATTATTTCGAAAATATGCAGGTTTCCTCACGATGTTTGCTTTACTGCCGAGCACGTGATGAGTTAGCAATTGAAATTAACAAATTCATCGGTTCCGGCACCGGGGATCGATCTTAGGTTGCTCGAATACATTGAATTAAAAGCGAGCAACCGGACAACAATGAGCTATCACGGCTTCTATCAAGTGGAGTAAACATGTGAAAACAATAATAAACAATTTACGAAAAAGAAAACCGATTTCAAATATCTCGCTCCGTATTCATTTTATAATTGATTTTTAGCAGTTTCCTAAGTAACTCCGGAGCCGAAGATCCAATACCAATGAAATTTATATGGGACCGAATGGTTCAAAAAAAATCCGTTCACTGCGTCGAAAGTTCTGTTCAAACATAAAAAATATACTGTCGAATTGTGCACCATCACCGTTTTTGCCTCGGCCAGACCGCACGGGCGGGGCTGAGTCGCGCGAGAACCGAACCCCCGGCCTCGCGCGTAACGAGCGCGCTGGGGCCGCCAATTGAGCGGGGTCGAGGGCCCCATTGATAATCGCGGTCGGCCCGACGCCCGGCTAATTTAAAGCATTATCGTATGACCGTTGAGTTTTTGGGTCCTTTGATCGAGTAACGCATCAGTCGATCCCGTAATGATGACTGTACTGTGCCGTTTTTAGGGTTCCGTACCCAAAGGGTATGTAAGGTAGGCGTGGTGCCCTCTGTAAAAGAGGCCCTTGTTCAGCAGTGCGATATGTAAAGATTATTTTTATACCCAAAGGGTAAAATGGGACCCTATTACTAAGGCTCCGATGTCTGTCTCTCTGTCCGTCTGTCGTCAGCCTGTATCTCATGAACCGTGATAGTTAGACAGTTGAAATCCTCGGCCTCGGCCACCTCACTCACCATACGAAACGCAGGATTATCCTTTCCTGTGGTACCTGCATATTCGTTCAACGGCCAAGAACCGGTGCGTGGCCCTAACATAGTGAACGAAAAATAGCCACAGATAGCCACGATGCATTACTGGGTACAGTTAATGGGTTTACACTGAGCTAGTGTGTTCACCGTCTTAACTCGTGCAGCGACCAACAAATGGGATGGATCACAACAGATGATGATGATGACGAACGACAAGTAGAATAAAATTTAGAAAACTAAAAGCCCGACTGCGTTTCTGTGTTGTATTTAATTTTGATACACCCAGTGTCACTCTCACAGTAAATACGAATCTAACGACACCTCTCAAGCTAAAATCCACCAAGCCGTCCAGGCTGCAGAGCGCGCCAAGCAATTATACATACATACATACCCTCGAAAAACATAACCCTCCTTCAGGCGTAGTCGGGTAAAAAGCTTACCTGTCGACCGTGCAGTCTCGTATCACCACGTAGCGTTTGGGGAAGGCGCCAGTGCCGTCCCTACGCAGACTCGTGCCCCAGTACCAGTCGCGGGTTTCGCCCAGAATGTGCACCAACTCCCCAACTTCCAACTGAAGATGGCTGGGGCTGCCACTCGTGTAGTTGTACACGGCTGAAGAGAAATACATGCCGTTAGACGGTGTTGGCGTAAGAGCCAGCCTTTGATAGCTCAGTGCCCGGACGCTAGTCTTTAACACTATATTCAGGCAAACCTGAGTTCGATCCCCGATGAGGAAATTGTTAATTTTAAGTGCTGAATTATCACGTGAAAGGTGCACATCGCGAGGAAACCTATATCCATACACATAGTATCGAAATTATATAAGAAAAAATTTTTGAAGTCCGCCAATCTGTAGTGAGGCCGCGTGGTGGATTATGCTCTGATACCCAGTACAGAGGAGGCCTTTGCCCAGCAGTGGGATATTTATAGGCTGATACGTTACTTTACTATACGGTGTTCAAATCACTATTTTGGCGTAGCTCGTGAGCCGTGTCGGAGTAGAACGAGTGTTTGTATGAATTACAAATAAGTGTTTCGGGTGCGTCTGGCTTTTGCCTATGTGCGATTTCTGTTTATACAGCGCTATACACGCAACAGAATATGTATGGTAATGTATGGATTACGTTAACAAAAAGATATAAGGAGTACGAAATGAAATGTTCGACATGCGCCTAGTGCACTCTTATACTATATACAAGATCGGCTTGTCACAGATGTAAAAATAAAAAATAAGTTCGAGAGACCAACCTCGTAAAGGGTTGATCAACCAGAGTAAGTACAAAATATACTTTATATATTAATAATTTTTATATAAAAAACCATCAGTCTGGCAGTCTGTTTGTCTTATTGTTTATTTTTTTTCGTAAGTACATTGTTTTGTTATTCCATGGAAATCGAACGCACGATGTAGCCAATATTATATAAATATATTACTATTCACTACATCGTGGGTTCGATTCGCTCATAGGTATCTAATTGCAATTATATAATTATCATTACAATTAGGTATGAGCGTTTGACTACAATTACATAACGTAAAGGTATAGGTAAAGAATGGCCAGTCTGTAAAAAATGCTTAAAGGCGTCATCATGTTCCCTTCCATGTTTGGCAAAGAGTAGCAATATAAATAAAATAAATAATAAATGAAAAAAATCCCAATTTCTAACTCATTTTCGCCCTAATAGCTGCGTACAGAGCCTTCGCCTTTAATTCACCGCTCGAGTCTAGGTCGCAAATGATGACGTCACGTGGAGCAGCGTTTGTGGCACTCGACATGACAGGATGCCCGTGTCCATTACATTTTAATGGCGTAGCGTTTTCTATAGCCGTGTAATTAGCGCGTGTTCCCCGGAGCGTGGGGCTAACGGTTCTACGCGTGACAACGGAAGTGCTTACAAGTTCGGCGACGGATGGGTCGATAAGGATCGAAGCGACGTCGGTAAAGTGTCGGTCACACAGCGAATACTCGCCGCCGGATACAAAAGGCGCTGCGAGTGACATGGCACTCTCTGCGAGTAGCCATTCCACTCAGCGCGCCGCGACAGGCTACGTGGCGGAATAGACGACTTATTTATAAATACGGCAGCAAAATACTTGCACCGGCACAGCACCATCTAGTAGTAGAGGAGGCATAAAAAAGCCATAGTCGCGCCGGGGTCGCGGAAGATTGCGTCCACGTGTTCCCGTGTCCCCGGCCGATGCGACAGAGACAGGTGCAACGTGGGTTTTTTAGTGGGTACCCGTTTCTCACCGGGACTCCCACATACCCCTGCCACTCCCCCGATCCAGTGGTAGGGGATCCATAAAGGATTTCTCCCACGGAAAAAAAATACTGTCGAAAGTCTCGTGAAGAACTCGCTGCGTGTGACAGGAAGGCAGTGAATTGTTTCTGCGAGTATTCGCAGCGAATAGACTCGGCGAATTGTAGCTACGAGTATCTAGGTAAAATTAGTTAAGATAACCTATACATGTCCCACTGCAGGGCAAAGACCTCCACTGTACCGTCCGTGGTGTCAGGGCATAGTCCACCACGGGACAACACTACGGCTTGAAGGACTTCACATACCTTCGATATTTTTTTTGTTATTACTTCGAATATATGCGGTTTCCTCACGATGTTTTCCTTCAGCGCTGAGCACGTGATAGGTCAGCACTCAAAATTAACAGTTTCATTGATGTCGGCACCGGGGATTGAACTTAGGTCGCTCTAGGATGTAATTCAAAGCGAGCGCCCGGACAATGGGCTATCGCGGCTTCGAGAGTTCGCAGCGAATACACTCGCAATGAGTATTGCTGTGCTGAAAGTGACCAAGCCTTAAGTATAGTTTGGATCTTGGTGGCGAATTAACGAAACAATATATAAACCGAGGAAGATGCTAGCTTGATTTAAAAGAAATGAATCTTTCTTTTAAATCAAGCTAGCATTTTCCCAGCGATGGACAAAACACCTACAGAGAACGCACCAAACACTTTAAGGAGAAATGATTATTTTTCCCCCCTCTGAATAATAAAGCACAATATTATTTTATGTTTTATGAAGTTCATAGCGTGAGTCATTTTCACACATCATGGTCCAGATTGTTTCCATTGTTTCATTTTATAATTGGTTTTTTTAATCGATTATTATACGACCGATAAAAAGGTCATTGAATAACATATATTTAATAATAAAGCACCTTTGTTAATATTAACCATAAATCAATGGAATGAAACTTGCACAGTTTTAAAGACGTCGTCCCACACGTGTGCAAAGACCATATGATTTCATCTTATTGCGCTGTTAGATCATACGAAATAAATAAAAATAAATTTATGGCCAAGTTAAGTGAATATATGAAGTAAGTTCCGTTTTGTGTTACTCGGCCATGCATATATATGGGTTTTGGCTAATATGCGCAAAATTAAGAAATCACGTGTGTGATGGAAAATTCGAATAGTCTAAACTCGGATTTATTCGATAATACAAGTGCTCCGTGGTCCGCGGATGTAAACGGGTATCATGCGATCGTTATGAATACGCGGAGGCTTCATATAGATGCGCGGCGCATACTTGGATAAACAATACCGCACCAGACCAAAACGGATACGTATCATACGAAACAGGATGCGAAGTTCTCAAGCTAAATCGACAAGGGAGTAGAGGGACTGTAGTACATAAACACGCCTATCGTCCAAAATAGTAAAAAAAAGCCTATATGCATCCCACTGCTGGGCAAAGAACTCCTATGTTTAGAGGGTATTAAGACAGTCGATCAACAGCCCCACCGCGGATTGGCGGACTTTACGTATCTTCGAAACCCATTTTTTATTGTTATTTCGAAAATCGAGAGCCGTGATGGCTCCATGTCCGGGCGCTCGCCTTTAATTCAATATACTCGAGCAACCTGAGTTCGATCCCCGGTGCCGGCACCAAAGAAGTTTTTAACTTTAAGTGTGGACTAATCACGTGCTCCGCGGTGAGGGAAAACATCGTGAGGAAACCTGCATATTTTCGAAATAATAATAAAAAAAAATATATATTTGGTAGATATGTGAAATCCGCAGTGGGGTCTATGCCCTGGTACGCTCCTTGCAGAAGAGGCCTTTGCCCAGCAGTGGGACATGTATAGGCTGATACGTTACTTTACACGTTACGTTAGACACTATTTTGGCGTAGCTCGTGAGCCGTGTCGGAGTAGAACGTGACGAGTGTTTGTGTGAATTACAAATAAGTCTTTCGGGTTCGTCTGGCTTTTGCCTATGTGCGATTTCTGTTAATACAGCGCTATACACGCAACAGAAGATGTATGGTAATGTTAAAATTTGGGATGCTGATAGGAATATATCGGATGACTCTTTTCATCCCTTACATGAAGAGACAACCGATATAATCCTATTTCACCGAAGATTGTAGTCCTGAACGTAACGTGTGGTGAGTTCACCTTGTACCGGGCAAAGCCCAGGCAGTTTTCAACACCAAAGAAAAGTCATTAGTGCACGTCGCTGGGTTAAGATTGCAAAGATATTTTTTTATCTGATGTTCCAGACACATCACCGCCTTTAGTATAATCGCAGTCGCTGAACTATTGGATTCGTCATTGGGGGTGGTGGATTCGATTCCCGTAAAGGACATTAAAATTTTACGATTCAACAAATCGTATTGTAGGTACAACCTTGAACCCCCTCCGACCGGGTTGCCGCCTTGTCGTGGCGGAGGGGCTTAGTACCAGTGGCTTGGTCACCCAAGGGGAAGCTATGTAAAAAAGTCTGTATACATGCAAAATCTATCTACATAAGAAATAGGATTTTAAATTCTAGTAATAAAATAAAAGCTACATGGGACATCATTACCTGTATATCTGGAAGACCCAAGATATTCAGGGAACCTATAAAGCTAGTGATAGGCAATACACCCATAACTTCAGATAACGAAATTGCAAGTAGTTTTGAAAGTTATTTTTCAGAAATTGCAATTAATGTTACATGCACGTTAAAATCCTCTCCCATTGATACAATTAATGTATTAAAAAATAATGTTACCTATTGTCGACAAACGTTTAAATTTAATCACATAGATACTAATGATATTATAAAAGTTTTGAATTGTATTAATCTTAAAAATACAGGAGATTTGTGGGGCATGTCCATAAAATTAATGAGTACAATAATGCCGTATATTGCACCATATGAGGCAAATATTTTTAACAAATGTATAGATTCTGGAATATTTCCAGATCTTATGAATTCAGTAAGATAATCCCCGTTTTCAAAAGTGGGGATAAAAATGATCCAGGAAATTACAGACCTATCTCCATATTGCCATCTCTGAGTAAAATTTTTGAAAAACTAATTTTAAATCAACTCTTAGTACATTTTAATATGAACAAAATTTTCCACAATGAGCAATATGGATTCACTAAAGGCAGATCGACAACGGATGCGGGTGTCGCACTTGTCAAGCATATTTATAACGCCTGGGAAAGGTCACAAGATGCAATAGGTGTCTTTTGCGACCTTTCAAAGGCTTTCGACTGTGTAGACCACGAAACCCTCCTTCAAAAGTTAGATTATTATGGCATTCGTGACATCGCCCTCAATCTCATTGCCTCTTACCTTAATAATAGAATTCAAA